GAGGAATTTTCTTTCCCAAAGCAATTCCCTTTAATCTGCTTTCTTTAATTTTGAAGGAGATGGACGAACACATGAGGAGCATGTTGCATCACAGGGAACTTGAAAACCTGAAGGGCAGGTATGGGAACCGCTATCTTCCATAAACTTGTGAGTGTTGGGGGGTCTGTGTGCTGATAAGCCTGCCAGCTCATTCCTTTTTTTTTTTTTAAAGATTTATTTTATTTATTTATTTATGCATACAAGAACTGGGATGTTGGCCAGAGGTGCGGGGGTTGGGGGAAGGTGAGAGGATTCACTAGAGACAGGGTGGGGAGCAGAAGAGGCAGATCTACTGAAATACGCTGCTAAGGGGAGCAGTGGGCAAGACATAGGAGGTCTGCAGCACCATGTGGGTCACCTCCTTGGCTGGGGATCAACTCATGTCACAGCGGCTGGTGATAGCTTGATAGTGCTGAGACTTAACCCTTGCATCACCAGGGAGGCCCCTGCCACTCATTCTATAGTAATCATTGTAAATTAATATTGTCTCATGGCATAGAATTGCCTTCTAGAATTAATAGCAACTGCCATCATTTTTTTGATATGCAAAAAGGGTAAATCTTTCTGCATTTCAAATGATAATATTCACATCAGCTCTAGCAAGTGGATTACAACACAGGTGGGTTGCGATAAGCTAGTTCTCTCTTTAATAAGCTTTCTTATTCTCACACACCAGCCTTGCTGCTGGGGCATTTCATATTGTTGCCTCATCAGTGTTACAGCTGTGCTTGCTATGTGCTATTAATGGTGCTGGGATGATCTTAGCAGTCCAGAGTGTGCTTCTTCACAGCATTGATTCTCAGTAGCATAAATAAAATGCAAATCTTGAGTATTTAAGTGCTGCTTTGTGATTTAAAACTTGAGCTATTTGGGGAAAGAAAATCTAACAAATAAGCACCTTAAAAAAATTATATGTAGTATGTCTGTATGTTCCATGTCTTTTTTTCCCTCTGTGGACAGTGTCGAGCAGAGAAAGACTGTGTGAGTAAGAAAGATTAATTATATCTTATTCTATGAGTAATAGTTACAAGCTGAATATCTGAATGCCAGCCTAAGTCATCTGAAATTATTTGTATTTTCAGTAATACAGTTATGTTTATTTTTTAAAAAGATTTATTTATTTATGTATACAAGAGCTGGGGTACAGGCCAGAGATGCGGGGGGTGAGAGGATTCACCAGAGACAGAGTTGAGTACAGAACAGGCTGATTGACAGAAACACACTGCTGAGGGGAGCAGTGGGTGAGTTAGGAGAGGTCTCCTGTGCCATGTGGGTTGCTCCCTGGCTGGCCGGGGATCGAACTTGTGCTGCAGAGGCTGCAGATTGCTTCATAGTACGATTGCTCCATTGTGCGGTGCTTCACCCCTTGCGCCACAGTAATACAGTTTTAGATTGTGTGGGCAAATTAGTATGTAATTAAACTTTCAGCATCTGTATAGCATATTTGTAGAATTTTTCCATGGTTTCAGTCTCTTTCTGTGAAGGATAGGTCTTAGCATCAGTATAAGAGGAGTGCACTCACTGAGTGTGGAGAAACCCTTATAACAACATGAAGTTTTATTCATTTTCATTGGAAACCTATGAAATATAATCAACATTTGATTATCTGTATATGGGTAATCTTAGTTAAACCCATTTCCATCAGATTCCTTTGGAATTCACCTTTTTCTGGCTACATACCTGACATTGACCTGCACTGTATTGTAAAATCCAACAAAACAAATCAGGTCAATATATTAGGAGAGAAGCCCAGTTCATTCTAAGATGAAGTCCCTATTTTATTCAGAGATTCCTAACAGATTTTGGCTATTTATGATTCATGTTCACAAATCAATACAAAATCATAAAAAGTAAAAGTCTTCTCACCCTCTCTCTAAGAAAGACAACTGTGTGATGTATAGTCTACCTAGACCTCTTCGTGCGTGTATGTGTACATTTATATTTCTGTATGTGCATTTTGTCTTATTGCACAGCTGGGCCTACATGCATTGTTGTGTTTTTTCTTTCTTCCCACCCATCAACTTAACCGTACCATGGGAGATTTTGTCGGCCGTTTTCAGTTATTTGGAGCATAGTCAAGTAATAAAGGAGAATGCACTAGACCCTTCTGAGCTGACAATACAAACATCAGCTTTAGCACCAAACTCTTTATTCAGAGGAGAGCACTTTGGTATTTACTTACTTAGTTAGATACAGTGTTAATCAGTTTTATATGACCTTCTGGCCTATAATAAATTATAAGGGAGAAGGCAAGCAGGTAGCAAGGAAAAACAGCTAACAAAACTATTAAAAAACAAAGTCTCAAGAACCATTTATTGACTTGGAGCACTTACTATAATGACAGATTGTTATCACTAGTTGCACCGTAGGGAAAAAGGAATTATCAGTCATTTTTTTCCCTTTTTATCTGTAGTTTATGATTATTTTTCTGCATTTTATGCTTTACAACTGGCTTTCCATGTTAAAATTTTGAGTCTCTCTGTATCACTGTGATTTTTGATTGTGTTGTGGTTGAGAAACATAAAGAGCATTTATTTTAGGTTTTGAATGCAAACTTGAATGAGAAGTAACTTGTCTTAATTGGTTATTGTGGACCTCTGGGACATTTCCCTATTTTTTTCTTACTAATATTTGTTTAGATGCGTAGCCTGTAAATAGTTTCTACAGATAGATGCCATTAAAAAGGCACAAACCTTTATTTATCAAGCAGCTGCTGTGATATAGTTAGAGCAAGCTTAATAAAGAAAAGCTTATGGATAGAATATCTCAAGGCTTTGCCTTTCACACATGAGAGGAAATTGTGTGGTAACAGGATGAAGCTAATTTGGGCCCTCCTTTAAGCACCCCGAGGAAAATATTGCCTTTATTAGCCAAAAAATAAAGCAGTACTTTTGTTCCAACAGTTATTTCATGTATTTAAACAAAGTTGTAAGTATTTTAACTGGATATTGATAAAGAATTAGAAAATATAATGTCATTAAAGTATTATTTAATTTGCTGTTAACTTTTTGAAACCTGTGAGTCCTAAACACTGTATGTGTGAGTGCATATTACATGCATAACAGCTCAGTTGCCTCCGGCTACAGACACATTAGAATTTTCAAGAGATGTGCTTGAACTACCTTGTTCCTTCATTATAGACAGTTGGATTTTCTTCTCTCTTTGAAGTTTCTTATAAAGCTTTTTCTTTCCTTTTTTTAAAAACTAGATTTCATTCTTAAGAAAAATATTAGGAATTTTTGTCTTTTGATAAATTGTGTGGAGTGTTAACTTTACGTTGCATTTATTGCCTGTAGCCTGCTGGCTAGGATCTCTTGAGGTCCTCTGTCAAATGACTTTAGAGCTATGGTTATATACGTTCTTACAAGGAGAGAAGTGTTTTAAAAATAGGTGTTTGAGTGTCCATTACATGTATTACATATGCTTCTGTTTTGGGTATTGCAAAGTGTGTGGATTTATGATTGTGGATGTTTATTTTTACCTGGTCAGATATTACCTACTTTACACTGGATTCTTTAATATTGGTCATCATGGCCTTCCAGTTGTATCTATAAAGAGAGAGGGATTGTGATGGTTCAGACATGAGAAAATTTCTCTGCATCTTAGAAAATAAAAATGAGGGACTTTACTGAAGAATGACTTCTAGAAGGATGTCCCTGGTACCATAATAAACAGTTTAACATTCTATAAAATTTTAGGTACAAAAGTGGACTAAAACACTTTCCATAATTTTACAGTTAAAACTTACAATGAGAAAATTCAGTTGATTTGAATTTTTATTAGTGTTAATTTTATAGGTTTGTTAGTCTTCAGATTCTTCTGATGCCGCCATTGTAAATAGATTTATACTTGTATAATTTTTAACTCCTGTGTCATTATACAAGATTTCTACTTGCATAATTTTTAACTCCAGTGTCACTGTGAGAGAAGGCTTCTTTTTCTGTTACAAGTTAGCATTCACTGAGAAAAGCGTGGATATTCCTGGTTAGCTAGAGAAAGTTGAGGATTATTCTTTCATATAAATGTAAATGTAGTAAGTACAGTGGAAAATAATGTATTTAAGTTCCTGAAGGATTAGAAGAAATTGGAATGTTGCTGTATAGAATGTTGCTGTATAGTACTGTTGAATGTTGCTGTATAGTACAATGAATGTTGCTGTATAGTACAATGGGGTCATGATATTTTTTGGGAGTCTGGTAAGAATTTGTTAAAATGTATCTTATGTCAAAAACTGTACTGTATACAAAACATTTAAGGTTACAAGGTCCATAGAAAGGTAAAACCTTACAAAGTAGTCTGCTTTTTTTGAGGTGTTATTTATAATTTTTACAAAGTTAAAAAAAACTTTTGTTTTTTAAAAGCTTACTGGGCATTGTTCCTATTTTATCACTCCAGACAACTGTAACCATATATTTAGCTTTGGTGCCTGTAATTGTTCAATCTTTTTTTTTTTTAATGAACATTCAGTATGAACATTCATTTTAAAAATGATCTGTAATAGCAACAATCTTCTAGTATATGAAGTGCTCAATTTTGAGGGTCTCTTCTGGTTAATTGATTCCAATTCTGACTTGAAAGAATGGAACATTGTGTGTGTGTGTGTGTGTGTGTGTGTGTGTGTGTGTGTGTGATCAAGCATGTCTTTTTTTAAAAAAAATTATGATTATCGAGGCAAAGTTGATTTACAACACTGTATGTTTTAGGAGTATAGGTTCACATCTCTTCAGATGCATGTTATACCATGCCCTCCACCAAAGCCCCAGCAATCCTCCACATGGTCCACTGGACGCCCGTCTTATTTCCTCCCAACCCATTTCAGTAGCCTCAGCTTTGCACTCAGATTTGAAGGTTTTTTTTTTTTTTTTATTCAAAATAAAGCTTTTTGTGCCTATTATGGTTTTTTAAATTGCCATAGGAAATGCAAAATTATCACTAATAAAAGCCTAAGACAAATGATAGTTAAATCAGTGAGGATTACTGAATGGATATTAGTGTCCCATTCATTACTGCGCTGTGGGGCTAATATGTTTCTCAGCAGTGACTGCATAGACAGCTGAACCAACCAAGGGATCTCAGGAAGCTAAAAGACCAGTTATATTATTCATCTACAGCAACTCTGGACATTGATCCAAGACTTGAACTTCTTAAACTCCCTAAGTACGACATACACCACTAAATGAGGAAAGGAAAAGGAAAATAAAAAAGCCTACCCATTTTCTTTCTTAAGAACCTGGTTTTGCTTCTCTCTAAACTGTAGCATGTTCTGAAACTTGAGAAAAACCATTTGCCTATTGCAGCTGTTAACTTCCTACAACTGAAATACTTTCCATTCCCTTTCAAATAAGCCCTTCTGAAGCAGAATGTGGATCACATGTATCATGCACACCAAAAAAAGTTTGCTGAGACTACTCCTATCATTTGTCCTAGGGTCCGGAATAGGAATCTTCACATTCCTGGCAGAGCTCCAGCTGTTCCGGGTTGGGATTGGTTACACCGCCTACTCTTTCTCCACCCCTTAACTTTCACTGGGAGAAAGCACTTTTGCCAGAGATTAAAAGTAAGAGCTGTCACCAGGCTTTCTGAGTGCAGCTGGCACCATGGGCGTGCTCCAGAGCAACTTCTGTTTGCTCTGAGCCCCCTGCCCTGCCTCCCCTTTCACCATGTTTCCTCTGGCAAGATTTTAAGTACAGCAACTCAAGAAGATTTCTCCTCCTAAACTACATTGTTCCAAAGTGTATTGCCTCTTGATTGCTGGAAAAGAATCTTAAATTCATTCAAAAATAATTTGCGAACAAACTTATTAAAAGTGATGAAAGGAGCATTGAAATTGATAATCACTGATTTTTCACTGTACCAAAGTGCACGTTGTTGTTCAGAGGAAACTATAACAGATCTGGTAAGTGGGCCATGCCAGTGGGGAGAATTGAATGTCCCTCATCTCCCTCTCTCCCTAGGGACAGTAGTCATGAGTGCCGAGTGTGCGGGGTCACAGAAGTGGGTCTTTCTGCATATGCAAAGCATATTTCTGGCCAGTTGCACAAAGATAACGTTGATGCCCAGGAACGAGAAGATGATGGAAAGGGAGAAGAAGAGGAAGAAGATTATTTTGACAAAGAGCTTGTTCAGTTAATAAAACAAAGGAAAGAACAAAGTCGGTGAGTAATGATTTTGATTTTGAAAAAAAACTATCTGAAACAGAACAGAGTAGGGAGCACATTTTCCACCCTCTTACTTTCTGGCTTTAACTTTCAGAAGTATCTTAGTTATAAAGCTTAGCTTGAAGTTACCTTTTTATGCATAAAAGAGCAGTAGAATTGTTTCTTGAACTGCTGTGCTATTCTGCTTTTACAAAAAAAGCAACTCAGTATTGTATCTACATAAAAGCTAGTATAGTTGTTACATATCTGAATTTTTTGCTATGTTTAGAACTGTTTGGTATCCAAGTTTTCTAGTGGAAAGGTATTAGTACAAAAACTTCGCTTGAATGTGTATTATATAGTATTTCTTATTACAGTCCTTAAAGGAAAAAAAAATATTTTCTCTTGTGATTTAACTTGGTGCTTTTACCAAATTCATTGTCTAGTAACTAACAAGGAGGAGAGAGGGGTGGCGTGTCTCAATAAAAATGTGTTGCACTTGACACTCTGGGACACTTGAGCTGGGACTGAGAAGCCTTATGTCCCCTGGGTCCTGCTTCTCTTAAACTTTATTTTGTGTCTGTCAATTCTTTATTTCTCGTTTTTTTTGTATTCTTCTCAACCCTGTTCATCAGAGCTGGTCTCTGACAGATTTATCCCCTTCTTAGTGCTTCAGTAAATATATATTGAATAAATGTATATTTTAAGTTTGACAGTGTCAAGATCATTTGAGCAATATAATTTTCCAGCTTGTACTGCATAATTTCATACGTGCATCTATAACTCAGGTGTTTGGCTTTTATAATTTCACCTTACTGACCTGTGTTCTGAAGAGCTTATGAAGCAGAAATTTTCAAATAGGAGTGAAAGAATAGAACCACTTTTTGAAGTGGTAATTTTTTAAGTCCTAGGATAAGATGAGAAACATTTCAAATTCCAGAATAAATTTTTAAAGAGCCTTCTTGTATGGTGGGTACATCCGGTCTATACTTTATTTTTAGGTAAAGATTTGAATATAAAAGAAAAGAAATATTTTTCACTCTTATGTTAAAGTTTTTTGAACAAGGCCCTAAATGTCAGTAGCGACATGGTTCTTAAATTGTTCAGTTACTTAGTCCTTCAAATGACATTCTCACCACTTTCAGTTTATTTTCTCTCCTCTTTTAGGGGATTGGAGCCTCTTGGAGACTAGCTTCTATTTTTGTTCTTACACACTGTGCCATCATTAACTTATTTATGTAAATGATTCAACATTAAGTCATGTGATAAAAGAGCTAGACATTCTTATCATAGTTAATATTCTATCAAGTATTCTAATAATGCCTCTTTGGTGGCCTTTTTATAAAGTTATCTACTTATTTCTTAATAAGGTTGTTTTCCTTTTTTCTTCATGAGGTTTTTAAAGAAGATTGATCTTTCTGGGTTTAGCTGCACACTGTTGTCCCTTCTATAAGACTAATTCATGGTGATCTGGTAATTATACTTTGTGGTTGATTTTTTTTTTTCCAATTCTCCACCCATTTCTGGAACAAATTAATATAGCTAAGTCAGTGATCTCCTTGGAAGTCAAAAATTGCATACTGCTTGCAAACAGAAGAGAAAAGCAATTTGGTTTGTGGTTGTATAAAATCCTGCAAACATGTAATAGCACTTGTTATTTGGGGGGATAGGGTCTCCTGTTTAGAAATGGCTAACCCATAATATAAGTGAATATTTTAATTCTATCTTGTGAAAAAGGAAGAAATTCCAATTTGTATCCAAAATCAGTTAAACATTAGAAGATTCAGGCCACGTTCAGAGAAGGGAACTCAGCTTCAAGAACTTTCTTTTGGGATTTTCATTCGATTGAGGCCTAGTGCTTGAAAGTGTACACTCTAGAATCAGAGTTAAAACCAAGGTTCAAATCTCTGCCATACTATCACTTACTATCTTACTCCAGGTAAGTTATCCAACCTCTAATCCTGTTTCCTCATCTAAAAAGTAGGAATAAGAATAATTGCATCGGAGGTGTGGAAATTAAATGAGATGATCTATATAAAGTGCTTAATGTTAAATATATGATAATTAGTAGGTACTTATATTTTAGCTTTTCTCCATTTTTTGAGCACCTGCCCATATGCTGAGCACTATGGCAGACATACTATAGGCTGTCTGTAGGAGAAAACGGTGGTTTTCTCTGGAAACAAATAGGTTTATATTCCCATGATGTCTACTTAAATTTATTCACATTTCTGTGGACTCCTTGTCTAACATGAATAGTTCAAATAGCTGGGCTTCTGAATTATAAAAGCCTCTCGCTCATGGAGCTCCTTAGAGCACTGATTTGAGTACTACTTATTTGGTATATGCTATTTTACTCTTGTTTGTGACCTTAGCTGGTGAAAATTTTCTTTCACCACTAAGTCATTGAGTGTATGCTTGATAAAATGTTTATTAATGAAAATGATCATGCAGAGATAAATCTTAAGATTTAAAATAGGTCAGGAAACTGGGTTTTTAAAAAAGAACTTAAATTTAACAAGTTGCACAATGTAAAAATAGTAATTGTTTGCTAGACAGGGAAAGATCCCAGAATATGTCAAGAAATACAGGAGCAGGCAGGGGAGGAAATATAAATGTGTCAAATTTTTAATATTTCTAGGGTTATAAGAGGATACTCTTTCATTTCTAAGTTAGTAAAATGTGAAATAGAAATTTGTTATCACTCAAAGGTGAAAACAACTACTACTGGAAATATAAATGAGCTCTATTCCATATGCTAAGTAACAGTGGAAGGAGGTAGAAAGGAAATTTGGTGGGTTAACTTTTAAAGGAAGCATTAGTGCCTTTAAATCACTAATGAAACACTTTTTTTTCCCCCCCCAGAAAAAATGAACCTTCCCATAGTAGCCAAGAAATAAATTCTGATGACAGGCGACCTCAATGGAGAAGAGAAGACCGAATCCCTTACCAAGACAGAGAGAGCTATGGTCAGCCAGCATGGCATCATCGTGGACCTCCCCAGCGGGACTGGAAGTGGGAGAAAGATGGCTTTAATAACACTAGGAAAAACAGCTTTCAGCATTCTTTGAGGAATAGTGGTGGACCAAGAGGATGTTCCGGGTGGCATAAGGGTGTCTCAGGAGGCTCCTCAGCATGGTTTCACAACCATGGTAATCCTGGAGGTGGTTGGCATTCAAATAATGGAATGGTAGATTGGAATCATAATGGTACAGGGAGGAATTCCAGTTGGCATTCTGAAGGAACAGGTGGATTTTCCAGTTGGCATATGAACAGCAATAACGGAAACTGGAAATCCAGTGTACGTAATACAAATAGTTGGAATTACAGTGCCTCTGGAGACAAATTTCAACCAGGCAGAAACAGAAATTCTAACTGTCAAATGGAAGACATGACTATGCTATGGAACAAGAAATCCAAGTCAAACAAATATAATCAAGAGAGATATAAATGGCAGCGGCAAGAAAATGACAAAGTTGGGACAGTGGGAACATACAGAGGTCCTTCTGAAGGATTTACAAGTGATACATTTCCTTCAGAAAGTTTACTTGACTTTAATTTTGAGCAACTGGAAAGCCAAACTACCAAACATACAGACACTCTAGCTTCCAAAATTGGTGGGAAGAATGGCAGTGTAGCGAGGGAAAAGCTCCATCGCTGGACTCCCTACCCTACTCAGAAGACTTTGGATTTACAATCAGGAGTGAAAGAAGCCACGGGTAACAAGTCAGAAATGACAGACAGACCTTTCTATGATTTTAGTTTGGCAGCCACAGGAACACAGGAGCCCCAAATTGATGACACAAATAACCCCCCTACGCTGAAAACCCAAAAAGAAACACATACTGAATCTCTTAATCACAAGGCCACTTCTGACTGTACTACTTCCTATGAGGTGGTGAGAGATTTCCCCATTACAGAAAAACCTGAACAAGAGACTAACTTAAATAAGATGCCATCATTCAAATCCCCACTCCTTCCAATTCCAGTCACCAAACCAATTCCTCAAATGCAGGAGTCAAAGAATCCCTCAAAAACCACAAAAACTAATTCTTTTTTCCCTGGGGAACAGTCAAATCCCTTGAAAAAACCCACTATGGAAGATAATAAGGGTCCTTACCTATCCAAATTGCGTAGTTCATGCCCTCGTGTCTCAAAGGGGAATAAAAGTACACTTGATGCTCAAAAGGAACCCGATGAAAATTTAAATGATACATTACAAAAAGCCAAAGAGGTGCTACCGGCTCCTGAGTCATTGCAAAATCCTCTTCTGAGCACTTCTAAAAGGACGAGGAACTATGCGAAAGCCAGCAGGAATGTAGAAGAGTCTGAAAAAGGATCTTTGAAGATTGAGTTTCAAGTACGCTCATTAGAAGATGAGAGCGATGGAGAGATATCAGACACAGAAAAGCATGAAGCAAAAATTGGAACCATGGCCTCTTCAACCACAGAAGTATTATCCTGTAGCACTCACATTACTGATGAGAAAGAGGGGGAAGACCAACACCTGAACACATCTAGAAAACTGTCCACTTCCTCATTTAATCCAGCCGTTCACCAGAAACCATCTGAGTTACAGATAACACCTGCAGCTAGTCCACACTCTGGCTTACTGCTAGACTTGAACCTGAAAGCCTCTCTAGAAGATGCGCAGGTCGATGACCCTAGTAAATCTCCTGTATCATATGAAACAGAAGGCTTTGAGAGTACTAGTCTGGATGTAGAGCTTCAAAAAAGTGATATAGGTCAGCCCTCAGGCCCTCTCCTGCCTGAACTAAGTAAACTTGGCTTTCCCGCCTCACTCCAGAGAGATCTAACCCGACACATTAGTTTGAAGAGCAAACCTGGATCCCACCTTCCTGAGCCAAACCTCAACAGCGCTCGCCGCATTCGCAATATTAGTGGGCATCGAAAGAGTGAGACAGAGAAGGAATCTGGACTCAAGCCAACCCTACGGCAGATCCTAAATGCATCTCGGAGAAATGTCAACTGGGAGCAGGTCATTCAGCAAGTAACCAAGAAAAAGCAAGAGCTAGGCAAAGGCTTACCCAGGTGTGTGTCTCTTTTCAGTATTCATTTTTCTTTCTTCTAAACTTACCCTTTGACCCTTGTTACTTTTCATTAAATGTTTGCAAAAAATATACGTTGTAGATGTCTGGTTTAAGTAGGGACTGCCACTCTATAGCAAATGAAATAAAATTTTTCCTAGTAGGGGATTCAGGTTGAAAAGAAGCATGCCTACTTCTGAGAAAGGAGATTGGCATGAAGGGGGAAAAATGATTAGAATTTCAGAACTATCATTGTAGTTGCTAGAAAGTGACAGCATAAATTTTTTTTATTTATAAATCTTTCTATCTCCAGGGCTTATTAAGTGGTACAACTTTTAAAATATAATTCTTCTCAGTACTTTTTACTTATAACCTGTGGCTACCTAACCTTCTGTATGTACTCTGAACATGGTATTTGTTGTCACAAAATGCTTAAGACTTAATGTAATATTTTGAACATTCATCTTAAGTTGAGGTATTCAACTTTTAAGGATGGGAATCAGCCTTCAGTATAGCTTTGTTACTTGAAAATAATCCTGCTATATTATTATTATGTAGACTTCCAAGCTTGACTTTCTATCCTTGTTGAAATAACACATTTATTGTGCTCCTCTCCCTTTTCTATAACTTGTATTACTGAGTTTAAAAAGTTCTTAGTGTAGTGCCTGCCTGGCACGTGTGAATGCTTGATAAATATTTTTGTTTGTTTTGCTTTGCCTGCTGTTAAAGATTATGTATTAGTTGTTGGTTTGGACCTGCATGTTAAATAAGATCCTCATATTTTACTTCCTCAAATGTATATGAATTCTCACAGTCGTATATTCTCACAGTCGTATATGAATCTCCAGTACTTGGTACATTACAGTACTTATAGTTGATTACTTTATATCTGGAATTCTTATTAGTCTGTAAGATCCTTGCCATCAGAAATCTTCCAATTTGTGTTTATAGCCCCAGTGTTTAACAGCACCCAGCACAATAGGCGGTGCCTTCTTCCCCCAACCGTATCTGATTTATGATTTTTCTTTCTTTCAAGGTTTGGCATAGAAATGGTGCCTCTGGTTCAAAATGAGCAAGAGGTCTTAGATTTGGATGGGGAACCTGATCTGTCTGATCTAGAAGGATTCCAGTGGGAAGGTATTTCCATTTCTTCCTCGCCGGGGTTGGCAAGGAAACGAAGCCTTTCTGAGAGCAGCGTGATCATGGACAGGGCTCCTTCCGTGTATAACTTCTTCAGTGAGGAAGGTACAGGCAAAGAAAATGAGCCTCAGCAAATTTCACCTAGTAACTCATTGAGGGCTGCACAGAATCAGAGAGCAGCCATGGGACTGAAGCAGGAGGTGACACCTCTGGCTGCCTCCCTAAGAACAGGTGAAAGGGCTGAAAATGTTGTCCAAAGGCGTCATAGCGCACAGTTATCCTCCGACCGTGCTGTACCTTTGATGCATTTTGCAAGAGACCCAAACAGTCAGGACCGTTCTACACCACCTCCAGAGAATCAGAATGCCCAGGAGAGTAATGGAGAAGGAAACTCTTTATCATCAAATGCATCCTCAGCCCTTGCAGTCTCCAGTTTGGTAGATGCAGCCACAGATAGTAGCTGTACCTCTGGTGCGGAACAAAATGACGGCCAAGGTATTAGAAAGAAACGAAGAGCCACTGGAGTGAGTATGATTCTCTGTGCTTTTTGTAGACCATTTCCTGTGGTGACTTAGTTACTCTAAGAAAGATTTAACTGTTTAATTTTTCTTTAATTTCTGGGGCTGTGGTTCTCCCTGCTCTGGAATTAGAAGACTTGGGAGGCTCTATTATTGCGTTCATAATCTTATCCTACTGGTTTCTTTCACTGAGTAATTCTACTAGGTTAGATGTAATTGAATATGAATGTACAGTACTAGGAAAATATGAAGTCATCTCTAAAACTAGTCTGTTTCTAAGCTAGTGATTCTTTGTATCACCTGACCAAGGAGTAAGACATATCTTCAACTGTAACTTTATCTGTTTTCCTGATGCATTCTGAACTGCTGCTGAAGAAAAGCATTCCAATGTTGCATTTGTAGGGCTTGTATGCTTGCTAGACCCAGGACTAGTGGACTTAACACTAGAGTAGTTGTAATACTATTAGAGTGCATCTCCATGAGCATAGTCTTGGACATATTTTTAGTTTCTGTTACCTCTCTTTTGTACTGCAGTAACTCAGTGTGGCCCTTTCAGAATCCATTCCTTCACTCATACCTCTTCCTTTCTGGCCTCTCTGTCACTAGTAGCCCATTCAGGAGCCATTTCTGGAAAGAAAGAGTTGCTGGTGGTGATATAGTTTGGATCTGGCACTGCGAGGAAATGGGCTATTTCTAAATACTAAGCCACTGTGTAGCCCAGTCATCAAGGACATGGTTTGTAGATCTGGATTCAGATTCAATTCTGCGCCTTGGACACTGTGGTGGACATTACTGAATGAGAGATTTTCTATGATAAAGCTAATTATGCTGGCGCTTGTCTCATAAACTGTTCAGCTTTTTGTTATAAAGTTTTTTTTGCTGAAATTTAATGTGGAAACTGCCAAGATGAGTCAGATACATGTATCAGCATCTTTGTCCATACTGCTATCTACGCCTTGCCTTACCAACATGGAATGCTTTGCCTAAGCCTCGTGATTTTCCCATCTGTAGGTGCTAGGAAGGTACTTGACCTTGGAGTCTTCTTTTTTAACCAGATACATTCATTTAACTAATATTTGAGTTCATACTGTGTGTATGAGACTTAGACTAGCATGTTAGAGATGAAGAATATAATATATATTGAAGAATAATGTATGACTGTCTTAGGATTGATACTTCTTTCCTCTTCTGGATAATGGTCTTCATAGATATAGTATCATTCAGTCTTCTTTATCTCCACAGGATGGATCTTCCCCTGAACTCCCAAGTCTTGAGAGAAAAAACAAAAGAAGGAAAATTAAAGGAAAGAAAGGTATAGTGCAAAATACTTTGGTAGAAAGAAATTGTTCCTATATCAGTTTAACTTTTTGACAACGTGACAGTATAGCTTATAGTTATCAAACACTGAATACCCTTTTTTTTTACTTTCATCTTAAATGCATAGGAAAGTTAAATTTTCGACTACATACAATTACAGGTGTAGAATAATGTAATATAAACCTGTAAGCAAAAGTTTAATATAGCATGGATAAATTGATTTCAGTTAAAGCCAGAAAGTCTCTTTAGGGCTTTTTCAGTGGAAAAAAGAAGAAGAGGCCATTTAGTAAAAATTTTATTTCTCTTGGTCATTTATAACCGTTTCTCCCATTTTTCCATTTTAAGACATCTTGATTGTTTTTCCATGTGAATTGAGAGAAGTTATTAGTGTGGGTCCTTGACTGATATGCTTGTACAACTTTTGTTTTCCACTGATTCTAAATGAGTTTTAGTATAAGGACTAGTGAGGGAAGTGAGTGTTGGGTGATGGGCTGTGCTGGATAAAGTAGGTATCAAGGATGACCCTTGTTCTGAGTGGGTAAGCTGTGTGGATAATGATATTATCTACAGAACAAGAAGACTCCCAAGTGTTGCAGGAGGATACAGGAGAATGACAAGTTTTGTTTTAGATCCTTTGAGTTAAAGGACATTAGAGACACCAGCTAGAATGATCACAGTGATAGTTGGTACGTGGGTCTGGAGTTTAGGAGCGAGGTCTTGACATATTGAATGGGAAAGAGACAAACATAAAGATGACAAATATACGTAGTAGAACATTCTATTTAAAATAACTTAAATATACTATTTCAAAGCCATATATATATTTATATTTAGTAATACATATAAATATAAAATATAAACATAAAAAATGTATATTTTTAGGAAGCCTACACTAGTAAAGACATCTATTTTTTTATTTTTTAAATGGTCTTATTTTATGTTCAGGTAACACTATATATGATTTAGGGGTATAGACTCACGCCTTTTTCAAAGGTATTGGTACCACACCACATCATGCCACCCACCACAAGTCACCCTTAATCCTCCATTATAGTTGTTGGGCCCCTTGCCCCCATAAAAGGAATTATTTTCAGTAACACACAGACTAGAAAATACGGATTGGGAGGGGAGAGCACAAGCAGTTCAGGTCTGGGGCCATTGTAAGCAAAACCTTGAGTAAAGATGTTGGTAGATAAAGGAAGAATGGGAGTTGATTTGCCTGGAACAGCTACCTCCCTTGGAAAGCTAGTGGTAGAAGATGATGATTAGGTAAAGTGATATTATATAGTGGTGTTCTTGGACCTAGAAGGCACCTCCATCTTACCAATTGTCACCTTTGGTTTCTAGCTCTGGTAGCATCTGGCTTGACTATGTGATTTATGAGTTTGGATGAGTGTCTACTGATCTACAGGGGTTGGGGGGAGGGAGAGTAAAGGCTTATCCTAGGTAACGTGATGTGGTTCCATCTTCTGAGGAACTATATTATTTAAAAAGAAGCCTCCAGGGCCTCCCCTGGTGGCGCAGCAGTTAAGCGCTGGGCTGCAGAGCTGCCCGCAGCATCTGCAGTGCCAGTTCGATCCCTGGCCACCAGCAAGGATCCCACAAAGCACACAGATCTCCCCTGCCCTGCCCGCTGCTCCCGTCAGCAATGTATTTCGTCAGTCTGCCTGTTCTGTTCCCCCCTCTGGCTCTGGTGAATTCTCTCACCCTCCCACGCTTCTGACTGTACCCAGTGCTTGTATAAATAAATAAATAAATCTTTAAAAATAAAAAGAAGCCTCCAGTGTGAAACTGAATCTTATGATTTTTTTGACAGAACGTTCTCAGGTTGACCAGCTGCTGAATATTTCCTTAAGGGAGGAAGAACTAAGCAAATCATTGCAGTGCATGGATAACAACCTTCTGCAAGCCCGGGCAGCACTTCAGACAGCTTATGTTGAAGTTCAGAGGCTACTTATGCTCAAGCAGCAGGTAACAGTAGATGGAACATTTAATGAAAATGGGTCATCTCAAAAACTGAATATCTAAATGCTTAATAAAATACTTTCTTTTTAGATAACTATGGAGATGAGTGCACTGAGGACCCATAGAATACAGATTCTGCAGGGATTACAAGGTATTTGGAGAGATCATGTATTATAGAAAGAGGCTAGTTTGGGAATCAAGACATGAGTTCAAATCTTGACTCTTTGTGTCATGCCGGTAGAACTTTGGATAAATCACTTAAAATCTGAACAGTGGAGTATTGATTCCTCTTCTGTCTGTATCTCTGGTGATTATATGACAATTTACTTTGAGGAACTTTAAAATTCTCTTGTAATCTTTAAAAATACTAATTGATTCAAAGCAGGTGACATTTCAGATAACATTTTTGCATTTGTACACATGTGTTTCCCTTTCTAGAAACATATGAACCTTCTGAGCATCCAGACCAGGTTCCCTGTAGCCTTATACAAGAACAGAGGAACAATAGACCTCAAACATCTGCTGATGCTGCAATGCTGCCTACACCCTTCTTCCCAGTGTTTCTGGAGCCTCCATCTTCCCATGTGTCTCCATCGTCCACTGGAGCCCCTCTCCAAGTCACCCCACCTCCTACTTTCCAAGTCCATGGAGGTGTTCCTGCTCCAGACTCATCGGTTCAAATTAAACAAGAACCCATGTCTCCTGAACAAGAAGAGAATGTGAATGCTGTGTCACGGAGCTCAGCCTGCAGTGTGACCAAGGAATTACTGCAAGCTAATAGTATGTAAACTTTTCTCTGGGCGCAGAGCAAGCCTATAGTGGGCCTAGTATTGTTCTATATCTGTGATGGAGAGTCATACTTGCCCATTAAATCTAAAGGTAATGGGGCTTCCCTGGTGGTCTAGGGGTTAAGTCTCAGCGCTATAACCATGACAGCCTGAGTTCGATCTCTGGCCAGGGAGCTAACCCACATATGGTGCAGCAGACCTCTCCTGTCTCGCCCACTACTCCCCTTAGCAGTGTATTTCAATAAATCCATCTGTTCTGCCCCCTGCTCTGTCTCTGGTGAATTCCCTCACCCACCACACCTCTGGCCCACACCCCAGTTCTTCTTCTATGCAATGAATAAATAAATAAATCTTTAAAAAAAATCTAAAAGTACTACGATGAACTTTTTTGGAAATTTCCTTCATTCAGGAGAATTCTTTAACCATCAGTAACTTTTTCCCTAATTTAATCTAGAATTACCAAGTTGACTTTGTATTAATACCTAAGAGATTCTTTTTATTAGGATTAGTACAGAGAAATAATTGGTTTTTGTGAGATAAATGTGGTTGATGTTAATCAATTTTCTAGATAAAATATATCCTCTGGTTTTCTTTCTCTGAATTAGGATTGATATAAACCTGAGAGGTAGATGTCAGTGACGAAAAGCAGCTCTGTGATTTGAATAGGAATTTGGGTGAAAATTTTGAGAAATTTTCATAAAATAGCACCTTGTTTGATTTTTTTTTTTTTAATAGAGGCATGTTTTATTTATTTGTTTGTTTGTCTACACATGCACTGGGCACAGTCAGAAGCACAGGAGGGTGAGAGAATTCACCAGAGCCAGAGTGGGGAGCAGAGCAGGCAGAAGGACCGAAGTACACTGCTGAGGGAAGCAGCGGGCAGCAGGAGAGGTCTGCGCACCATGTGGGACCCTCCTATGGTGGCCGGGGAGCAGCCGGGAATTGAACCGGCGCCACAGAGGCCGCGGGCAGCTTAGCAACCCAGCGCTCAACTGCTGCGCCACCGGGGAGGCCCAGCACCTTGTTTGAAAATAACTACTAAGCTATTTAAAATCTATATGAAGTTTACACAACCAAATAGTACTATCTTGGAAATTAAATCAAAAGCAAATAAACTAGAGCCTCCCTGCTGACCTAGGGATTAAGTCTCAGTGCTACCACCACAACGGCTCACTGTGATGGCCTGAGTTCAATCTCTGGCCAGGGAGCTGACCCATATGAGGTGCAGCAGACTCTCCTCTCTTGCCTGCTGCTCCCCTCAGCAGTGTGTTTCAGTAGATCTGCCTGTACTGCTCCCCACTCCATCTCTGGTGAATCCCCTCACCCCCTGCATCTCTGGTCTACACCCTAGTTCTTCTATGCAAAATCAATAAAATCAATAAAATCTTACAATAAAGGAATAATGCTTTTTTAAAAAAGCAAATAAACTGGCATTGTGTGATTTTTTTTTTTTTTGAGCAAAACCCAAAAGGTCTGAAGAATTACACTAGATTTTACTACCTAGTACAACACTAATCTAGAACTCTATATCAAATGTATTTTATCTTTTATATTGAATTTGATTACTTTTATATGGATAGTATTTAGTATTAAAAAATGAGTAGGCCTTATTGTCACTTTTTAAGCTACTTTTTCAAAAATAGCTTTTATCATTTTTTCTGATTGCTAAAGTAATTCATAATGTTGTAAAAAGTTGGGAAACTATAAATGTAAATATGATGTATTATTCTTAAATCATAAATGTGCTTACATGTAGACTTTATACATATGAAAATGATCGTATGTTATAACTTGACATTTTTCCACTTAATGTATCATGATCATTTTCCTGTGCCATAAAAATAATTCATCTAAAAATGTTTTTAGTAGTAGTTGCATAGTATTTGAGAAGTTGCATAATCACATATATACAGTAATTTATATGATCTCCCTTGAATTTTAAGGCTTTTCCTCTTCTTTAGTATTCTGTATAACACTACATTGTATGTCTTTGTGCTTATTTCATCTGTTTAAATTCTTACACATGAATTAAATAACTAAGTAAAAAAATAGATATTTGCAAGTGAGCTGACTTTTAACTACTAGTATATAGCTGAATTGGAAGATGTGAAGAGAAAGCATAATAAAACTTATGAGACATAAAGGTGAAAGCACTTCATTTAAGTAGATATTGAAGTATCTACTAAGAAAAAAAGCACATGCTAGATATATAGACTTTCAAGTTAGAAAGAAAGAAGATCAATAAAAATAATCCCTGCCCATAAGGGGCTTTGGTAGGGTATAAGACATGCATGCCATTTTTGATACTCATGCAAGACAAAGTCTACAAAGTGCTATAATAGAAATGTCTGAGGGGTGAGATGAACGGTTTTATCGTCATGGTTTGGATAACATCAGAATGTCATAATTTGGTAAAGATGCAATCAGGAATCAATAACTGTAGTTTATGGCTATAAACAGCAGACACAATAAAATATGCAATAATTTTTTTCTTCTCAATCAGGAGAGATCACTGACAGTGGTCCAGTTTATCCAGAGGTCACAGCAGCGTTGTCTGCATCAGCACTAAGGGAAAGTTTCCATGAACCTAGCCAAGAATTGAAGTTTTCCATGGAGCAAAGAAATACCAGAAACAGAGAAAATAGCCCCTCTTCCCAATCAATTGGTCTTCCTACCCTAAGTAAAGAAGGTGAAGAGCCAGCCAAGGGGAACAGTGGGTCTGAAGCCTGTACCAGTTTTTTTCAAAGATTGTCCTTTGCTTCAGAAACCCCTTTAGAGAAGGAGACTCACTCTGCAGCTGACCAGCCTGAACAACAGGCAGAGTCTACTCTGACATCAGCTGAAACTAGAGGAAACAGGAGAAGGAAGAGACTTAGGAAGAAGAAAACTCTACGGGCTGCCCATGTACCTGAGAACAGTGACACTGAACAGGACACATTTACCGCTAAACCTGTAAGAAAAGTGAAAACTGGAAAGTCAACTAAAGGGGGGAAAGTAACAACCTCCACCTGGGAAGATAGAACTGGCCCAGAACAAGAGAGTGTCAGAGATGAGCCAGATAGTGACTCGTCTCTGGAAGTCCTAGAAATCCCTAATCCTCAGTTTGTAATAGTATCTATCAATTCTTCTGAATCCGGAGAAGAGAAACCGGACAGCCCATCTAAAAAGGATGTTTGGCACTCCACAGAGCAAAACTCATTAGAAACTTCTCGTTCTGGCTGTGATGAAGTTAGCTCAACCAGTGAGATTGTCACTCGCAATAAAGATGGCATCCCTGTAAGGTAAAGATGTATTGGTTCAATCAGAATAGCTTTCTTCCTTTCTTAAAAAACAGACTTTTGTGATGAATAAAATTTTTAAAGGACTCAAATGGATGTAAAATATTGTAAAGTCAAACCTTGCCAATGGAGATTTTCCCCTTCCTCATTTGGGTTGTCAATATTTACTGTATTTTTTCCTTTCTGTAGAAATTATAGGTGGAAAAACTGATCTCTTATATCATCATTGCTACTTTGCCCATTGTTCAGAATGCTTTGAGTCAGGAAAATGTAAGCATTATTACCTGTCCTGTTCACACATATGTTAAGAAGACTTTTGCTATTATTTTGTAGTGTGGCAGAAACTCAGACCGTGATCTCCTCTATAAAAGGATCAAAGCACTCTTCAGGTATATGGTTCTCTGTTTTATTTAATTAACCACAGGAAAAAAGCTTCTAAGTACTAATACCAGAGTTTAACTCTCCTTAATTATGCTTTTAGAGTAGGCTTTGAGGGCTGTCACCTAAAGAGTTGCCCTAAATCCTTATATTCTGGCCTTTTCAGTTTCTTACTCCCATCTCACTTACTTGGCTCTTTTACTATTCAGCCAGTTAGCAATAGTATTAAGGTTTCATTGCTGTAGGGTTTTGAAGGAACTGCTTTTATTTTTTTTTTAATTTATATATATTATATGTGTGTGTGTATTTTTTTACATCATTGTTCATTTTTGTTCAGTGTATACTTTCTCCTCTCAGGTGTCGTCCCTATAGAATTCCACCTCCAATTCACCCGGGCACCATCACCATAGTCCCTTGTGCTCTTTCGTCCCCTGTTTCCATCCCTCTGCCTTCCCCTCCCTTGCAGAATGTCTCTGATTTATGGTTGCCTGCTAATTTTTTTTGTAACTATTTTTCCTGATCCCTTATTTGGTTCCCTTATATTCCTCCTATAAGTGAAACCATCCGATATTTTTCTTTTCCTTCTGGTTTATTTCGCTGAGCATAATCCCTTCCAGCTCCATCCATGTTGCTACGAATGGCATGAGTTTATCTTAGCAACTGCTTTTAAAGAACAATTACTTATACAAGGAAATAAGTGGCAGCAGAGGAGACTGGATGTGGGAAAGATTTGGTACTTTACACTGTCACTGAAAATTATCTTTCAAATAAGTATCTTTCATTTTTCTAAGTGGAAGATCTTTTCGGCCTTCTCTTATGAAGCCTTCATGAGTGAATCATGGTATTTTGCTGGGGAAACTTGGCTAGAAGGAGAAGGCTAGGACCACTTTTTATGTAATGGTTTTGATTTTTTAGGATCTTTTCAGACACAAGCAGACAAGTCTCAAACACATTCTTGTTTTCTAGAAATTTCTTCAGAGCCAGGAGATGATGATGAGCCCACAGAAGGGAGTTTTGAGGGGCACCAAGCTGCAGTTAATGCAATTCAAATATTTGGAAACTTATTGTATACCTGTTCAGCAGATAAAACTGTCCGAGTTTATAATCTGGTGGTAAGTTGATAAATCAGTTTGAATATTTTTAGTTGGTTGCAGCTTTTAAAGTGTCCAACTCTCTTAAATAGAGAACTTTATTTGCTGTTCAGAGGTAGGTGCAGGTTATAGACTGACTTTAGATCCTTTCGATACTTTCTGACTTTCCACTCTGCCTTTTCTTCTTTTCTAAAAGGAAGTTTGTCTGCTCACATGTAGATGCCAGGAGTCACTGGGGTCCCCACCACCAGAAAAAAGGTCTAGTTCTTTACTCCCTGAGGAGTCATCTAGGCAAAGGAGATTAGATTACATCAGTCAGGCCCCAGCCCTGGAGTTGGTAATGAGGTCGCCTGTCTACTGCATAATAGAAATGGAATGGAATGAATATAGGGGAAATCTGAGAGGAGACCTTCACCCTGAAATCGATTAATTGTCCAAGTTATTAAGGAGAGCAGCCCTCTTCTCCTATACTACACTTCATATAATCCCACGCTCATTACTGTCACTTTTCACAGAATGAATGTTTTGAATATGGTATATATCAAATTAATTCTAACAACAGTGATAGCCAAGAAACTTTAGGAAAATTATGTCATCTGAACACCTGGAAAGTATTGGAAATTGCTGATGCTGTGAAAAGGCTAGGTAATGAACCAAGAAAATGTGTTTGCTGTAGGCAACAGGTGTATGGTTTCCTTTAGCCTAATGGTATAAGAGGTCATGAGGATGACTCCAGGACACAACGGTGATACCAGGAGGTGTTAGTGTAACATATGGGAGATTGGCTTCAGCTCTAAATTATAGGGTGAGTGTGTGTATGTGTGTACATCCTAAATGTTATCTCAGTGTGAAGATAACACTTGGTATGTTCTCCTATGAAACTGCACCTAGACCCCAAGGCCCTGTGATGGCACCTGATATGTCTTTGAATATTGTGGAGCATCCTTTCAAGTTACTGATTAAATGCAGGGACTTACCTGGGTAATGAGCTATAGTTTACAGTTGGGAGTTGCTAGATCTTTGGTCCATATGTTAGAGAGTCTTGCCCTAATTAAATTAGGCATTAATTAAAATTCTCATTAATTAAAATTGCCCTATATACTTTTTGGTATGGCTCAACTAACATAATTGCAGGCACCTCAATATATGTGACTGCTGGACCCTTCAGTGAACAAATATTTACTAAACACCTTTTGTGTAGTAGGCACTACCTTAATACCTAGAGTATAGCAGTGAACTATGTTTTGGCATTTTTGGTTGAGGATTCTAATCCTCAATATGCACAAGTAATCTAATTTTCTGTTTCTACAAGTAATCTCTATTGTGTACTTGACTTTAGAATCGGAAGTGCATTGGTGTCTTTGAGGGCCACACCTCCAAAGTGAACTGCCTCCTGGTTACTCAAACCTCTGGGAAGAATGCTGCTCTTTTTACTGGTTCCAGTGACCACACAATTCGGTGCTATAATGTTAAGGTAAATGGGCCCAGAAAAAACAAAACTGATAATACAGACTTGATTTTGACTGTATTTATTGTTAAAACATTCAAGAAACAAACACAGATGCTTTATTCTGCCCACTTTTTTTTTTTTTTTTTTTTTTTTTTTTTTTGAGAAGGTGGGGGAGGAGGTGGTCCAGGCTTCTGATTGATTTTAGCAAACTTGTTTAGGAAAAATCAGTAAAACTAGATATTAGTACTTTGAAAAGTAAATAAAATAGAAAGACTTTTCGCTAAATTGATCAAAAAAGAGAGAAGACATAAATTTCCAAAATAAAAGTATTATGCTTTACAGGAAAATAATGAAAATATCCATCAACTAGTAGGGTGAATATGGTGCATAAAATAAATGTGGTATGTAAAAAGTGGAATACTACTAGCCACAAAAAGGGACAAACTGTTAATACATGAAGCAACATGGGTTGGACTCAAAAATATGATAGGAGACAGAGGCCTGATGTAAAGGACTACAGGCTAAATATTCTCCTTATATTAAATTCTATAAATAGCAAAACTCTCAGGGTTGTCTGATGGCAGCTGGGATTGGCTGACAGGATACAAGATAACTTTTTTGGAGTTACCTCCAAAACTGAAGGTTGAAATGATAGTAGTTGCATGACTGTATATCTTACCAAAACTTAAAATGTATATTTAACATGGTGACTTTTATTACATGGAAATAATACTTAAAACTGTTTAAAAAATTATAAATAAATTTTGACAAGAGTTAACCTGAAGTAAAAAAAGGGATATAGGATAGGCATAGTTCCTATCCACTGTAACATAAGATAGGATAAGCATGGATTTAATATAATGTTATATCTCTTTGTAGAGAAAAATACTGAAAGTCCTATATATAATTGGGAAAAGACAGAAAAACTTCTTAAAAGAAGAAAATACTAAAAAAACTTTGAACACAATACAATCTCACCAACAGATGAAAATTAAAACAAAATTCAGTACCAGGGGCGGGGAGAGATGGGATTGGGGTCAAAATAAGGGGGGTGCAATTGTATGGGGAATATAACCAAGATGAAAATGCATACATTGTGCAAAAATGAAAAATGATGTAAGAAATATATTAAAAAAAAAACAAAATTCAGTACCATTTTGATTTAAAAAATCAGCAAGAACTCTTACAGCATTTTTCACTATTGTTAAGGTTTCTACATGAGTAGTATTTGCCATAATGAGATGTACATTAGTGAAAAACATTCTTAGCCAGTTTTTGAAATTGAAGTACAACTTCATATAGTAAAATACACTGATGCTAGCTTTCAGCTTGATGAATTGTCACATAGGTATACATTTGTGTAACCATCACCAAAATCAAAGGATAGCCATAACTATCCCCTGAAGCTTCTTTCAAACCTTCCACTCTCTAAAGATAACCATTGTTCTGACCTCTATTATTGTTGATTACTTTTGTCTGTGCTTGAACATCATACAACTATAAGGATACTGCATGTATTCTTTCATGCCTATTTTTAGCTCTCCATGTCTGAAATTCAGATATGTTATTGCATGTACATAGTTATTGTTTGAAGATTGATTTATTTATGCATACAAGAACAAGCCAGAGGTGCGGGGGGTGAGAGGATTCACCAGAGACAGAGTGGGAAACAGAACAGGCAGATTGACTGAAATACACTGGTGAGGGGAGCAGCAGGTGAGTCAGGAGAGATCTGCTTCACCATGTGGGTAGCTTCCCGGCTGGGGGTCAAACTCATGCTGCAGTGCTGCGGATAGCTTCATAGGTTGTGTCTTAACTCCTTGTACCACCAGGGAAGCCCTATTTTTTATACTGTATAATAAATTTCCCTCTAAAATTACAAAAAGATCTCACGTAAGTTTAGTAGAGGCAACATGAGTGTTGACATTGGGCATATTTACTGTCTTATTGTTTATCTTACAATTTCTATATGCAACATTTATATTTGTAATTTTATGGCTAGAGATTGAATAATTTGAAAGACTAGTTTAGGTATGAAGGAAAGGTGGCTAAAGAGATTAAAGACTTTAACAACCTACATCTTAACCTCTCCATAGCTTGTCCTATCCTACACGCTTGTAACCATCTTGATTAATATCCAGACCTGTTTAAAAATATACTTGGGGGCCTCCCTTGTGGCACAGGGGTGAAAGTCTCAGCACTATCAAGATATCACCAGCCACAGCTACAGGAAATCGATCCCCAGCCAGGGAGCTAACCCACACGGCACAGCAGGCCTCTTCTGTCTTGCCCTCTGCTCCCCTCAGCAGTGTATTTCAGTAGATCTGCTTATTCTGCTCCCTACTCTCCCTGGTGAATCCTCTCACATCCTGCACCTCTGGCTATACCCCAGTTTTTATATGCATATATAAATAAAAATAAATCTTAAAAAAACAAGCGCTACAGTTGGGTCTTTAGTTACTTTATGTAACACTCTGCAGCAAATATTGAACACATATTATGTTACTTGCCCTAAACTAGATAATTAGATTTGTAACTAAAAACCAGTTCTGTGAAAGTTAGTGCTTGGTTAGTGTGGATATGCAGGAATTACTAAGAAAAACTTTAAACATACATATTCTAGATCTACTGAATTAAAATCTCAAGTATTAGTCATGAAGCTTGATACTCTGTACATTTTAAGTTTCTTGGGTAACTATAGACGATTATGGAGGATGATTTGAGAGCTAGTGAAATAGAAATCAATTGGAGGAGGGCCTCCCCGGTGGCGCAGTGGTTGAGCGCTGGGTTGCAAAACTGCCCGCAGCCTCTACAGCGCCGGTTTGATCCTCGGTTGCTCCCCGGCCATCAGAGGAGGGTCCCACAAGGCGCGCAGACCTCTCCTGCCGCCCGCTGCTCCCCTCAGCAGTGTACTTCGGTCCTTCTGCCTGCTCTGCTCCCCGCTCTGGCTCTGGTGAATTCTCTCACCCTCCCGCGCTTCTGACTATACCCACTGCTTGTATAAATAAATAAGTAAATCTTTAAAAAAAAAAAAAAAAGGAAAGAAATCAATTGGAGGAAAACATGTATTTGACTAGTGCAATTATCAAATATACTACTATAGTCCTCATTTTCCTTTTCTATGTCCAATGCAATTTTAACTTCATCTTTGGCTACTTATTTTAAGAGAGTAAGACCCAATACATACTGTTCTTTGAAAAATTTCTACATCCCAGATTAGAAGCATGGTAGTATTTATTAGAATTTATATTTGTTTCCACTGCTACCTACAGCTTGAGGGTCTTTGACCACATGTTTCAAAAGTGAAAAAAAAAAAAGGATGCTGCATTTTCTACCTACTAACAATCATGTCACACTCTACTTTCAGCAGGATTGTTTTCCCATTTTATTTTGCTGTTAATGTCTGCTGATTAGGTGTTGTGCATTTTTATCAGACTCGAGAGTGTAAGGAGCAGTTACAGTTGGAAGACCGGGTACTCTGCCTCCACAATAGATGGCGAATCCTCTATGCAGGACTGGCAAATGGCACTGTGGTGACCTTCAACGTAAAGGTTAGTGGTTGGGGAGAGAAGGCAGAATTCCCGTACCGCGTGAAAGTAGTGTGAGTATGTGTAGGACAAAGTGGAAGACAGGCATGTTCCTCTCTTATGTGAGATAGCAACAGAATTAGTTGATAACTCAAAAACTGCTATCTTCTGGTATAAGTGAAACAAGATCCTGCATTCTTTCTGCTCAGAGCTAAGTGTGCCAGGACCAAAATGTAACTGCTAAATTAAACTAAGTCTGATCATTTGGGGCTAGATAATGAGTCACAGGTTAAACTAGTTTATTTTGTCTTGAGAATGACACTGTGAAAAATGTGTTTAAATTCCTTTGAGTATGACATCGATGTGGTTTGGAACCAATTTAGGGTTTCATGAGGGTGCCTAGTCTGTAAAGTGAACTAAGTGAAAAGTTTGCCTTCGTGTTTATGTGACCTCATACTTATCCAAAGATAAATTCATTTGTTTGTTTAACCTTTATGGAGCATCTGTTCTATGCTAGGCCCTAGGAAAAGGCTTAGGAAATGAATGGGAACCAGTTTTTGATGACCCTGTGTATTTTGTTAATGTCATTAAACTTCATCTTATAGTTTTTAAAATATGAGAAACATGATCCAATTTGTATTTTAGAAAAAGTCACTCTGGAGTTCCTGAGATTGAAAAAGATTTATACGAGGCAGGGAGACCATTAGGAGGCTTTGTAATAGAAACTGATGTGAAAGGTTAGATTAAGGATGAAGAGATGAGAATGGATAAAAAATGTAATCTAAAAGATGAAATTGATAGCTTTTTTTTTTTACTAATTAGCTCTAACACTATCCCAAAGTCACCCTGTTATCTTTTAACAGCATATTAGTGTTTGCTATGTCCAGTCAATTACAGTCTCATTTTGTGTTTAGTGACTACTATTTCTCTTTCCACTGAAACTACGTATAAGAGATGCTATAAAATATGTCATGATTTTTGTCTTTAAGATGCTTGGGATCAAATTAGAAAAATCTAGCACATACGTAATCAACCCCAAGTTAGTTGGTTCACTAGTTAGATCACAGAAGGGTAGCTATTACATTCTAGATGGGATGTTCTCAGCCTAGGCTTTGGTTAGGACAATAAGAATGACGAATAAAGAATAAATTAAAGATACCTTAAAGGGTAAAACTTGATCATCACCTATTTTGTGAGATTACTGTTATCAGAGGTCAACAAACATTAGGTGCACACCTTTTGAGGTAAGATGAGGACAGTAAGTTCAAATGGAAACAGTCTCTTAAAATAGTTCTAGTGCTATATAGAAGATGGGCCTTGAGACAGAGATGTAAGACTGCACAGATATGAATTTTGAAAGCTGACATTACTCCTAAAATGCAGTGCTTTTGGTATCTTAACAGAAAGCCAGTGCTGTTTACCAGGGCCTATTCACTATCGGTCCCCGAACTCCAGTCAGCCTTGTCTCAAGTGCATCAGTATGGCTAGAATCATTGTTTAGCATTATTGGCCCCCTGCTGCTGGTTTGTGCATATTTTCTGGGAGTTTTACCCCATGTATGCACATAAAGTACCTTTTTAGAGACTTGGGGGAAGTGGGAAACTTTATGAACAACATTGTCGTATTGATTAGGGAAGCAAGTCTAAAATCTGAATGAAAGAATGTTTGGAAGTCAGGGTGGGGCCAGAAGTCAGAAGAATGTAAGATCACAAAAAAGTGAAGAATGTGAGACCCTGACTGAAATTGCCTAAGAAAGAAGTTCTCAGTAGAGAATTTAGGATGGCAAAAACAGAATTCCTGGTAGGCTGGAAAATGTCTGAGTATTTTTAAAAAAGGAAAGGTTGATCACTCACTCATTAACTTAAGGGAAGTACGAGAGGGCAGCAAAAAAAAGAACCAAGTTCTAATTATGATAAAGGTAGTTATGGGCTGAAGTTAAAAATGAGTTGATATGGTAAGGGTTTGCCCCATTGGAATGGGGGATGAGAAAGTCATGATCTAGACAGAGAGCTGAATGGGTATGGCAGAAGTTGGGAAGTCAAAGGTGGTAGAATTTAGAGTTTGTATCAAGGTAGTCATTTTTGGTTAGTTGATTTTGAGATTTTTCCAGCTAAGTTATTTTTTGCTTTTACTTCATAAAATGGTGGCTTATTTTTCAGAACAACAAACGACTTGAGATCTTTGAATGTCATGGCCCTCGGGCTGTCAGCTGTCTGGCCACAGCTCAGGAAGGTGCCCGGAGACTGCTGGTTGTGGGATCTTATGACTGTACCATTAGTGTACGTGATGCACGGAATGGATTGCTCCTCAGAACTCTGGAGGGCCACAGCAAGACCATTCTTTGCATGAAGGCAAGTGTCACTGAAGAGAATAAGAGTTAATTGCCTTGCACAAATAGGAGGGTTTGAATGACATTTCCCTATGTTCTAATCCTTATTTAGAATAGTCATCTTTAAAAGAACAAGGAGATTGTATTTCTTTTCCTTAGACCTGGCTCACTCAGGGATGTGCTATTTTTAAATATGTTAACTGGGAAACAATGAAATGTATTTTATTGTAGAAAGTGGATATTCGTTCTGTCCTTCTAGACTATCTCATAATCAGAGTGCCTGGTGGTGAGGATATAAGTTTCAGTTCAGAAAATATCTAAGAAACTTATTTTATACCTCACTATGTTTATCTCAAAATAGAATGGAAATTAGAATTTGCTAGTGTACCTTACAAGTTACAGAGGGAACTTGGAACCTTCTAACAAGTCTAACTCATTGAATTTTCTCTTTAAGGTGGTGAATGACCTTGTGTTCAGTGGCTCCAGTGATCAATCCGTTCATGCCCACAACATCCACGTAAGCGATGGTGGTTAGAGAAATCTCAAATGGAATAGTGGTTAAAGCTTAATGTATTCCTCTTGCAATTTCAGTTAAGCCCCTTTCCCAGTAAATATCTTAGTAATCTAAGAGCATAAGTTCTTATAATAATGTGTATCCTAGAAAATCTGACCTTATCAGAAATATTTAGTGGGGGGCAGATTCAAGGTTATGTAACGCCTCATTTAAAACTTGAGCTAGTTTGAACGTCTGAGGTTTTGCAAAAATGGATATGAGATGTAATTTAAAATAGAACAAATAAGAAGAAACAGGACTCAACTCTGGTCAGAGAGGCAGCCCTTTGAAGTTCAGTTTCTGGTCTGTAAACCTTGGGGTAATCCAACTTCACAGATGTATTGTCTAGTTCCAATGAAATGATAAAATTGAAAATGCTTCAAAAGCTACGGTATATTTACAGGTAGAGTTGTGGGCCTTCTCTCTCTGTGACACTAAGTTCTCTCCATCAGGATACATTTCTTATATTTTATGTGGGTAACAAATGCTTGTGGGAGTACTTCAGCTGTTAAAATTAGTACAGCTGCATGTCCGGTACAAGTAAGCCTCAGAATTATATAATCATAAACCTCAAAAGTTGGAAGGTATCTTAAAAGTCAGTCTAGTGACTCTTACCTCTCTTCTGATGCAGACTGGTGAGCTTGTGCGGATCTATAAAGGTCACAATCACGCCGTGACTGTGGTGAACATCCTAGGCAAGGTGATGGTGACTGCTTGCCTGGATAAATTTGTCCGTGTCTATGAATTACAGGTAGAATTCATATCCAGTGTTTTGTTTGAATGATTGGGGGAGATTGTTTGGGTTTGGGCATTTTTTTTTTTAAGAATTATTATTATTATTATTTTAAGATTTATTTATTTATTTATACAAGCACTGGGTACAGTCAGAAGCACGGGAGGGTGAGAGAATTCACCAGAGCCAGAGCAGGGAGCAGAACAGGCAGACTGATGAAATACACTGCTGAGGGGAGCAGTGGGCGTGGCAGGATAGGTCTGTGCGCCATGTGGGACCCTCGCCGGTGGCTGGGGATTGAACCAGCGCTGCAGAGGCTGCGGGCAGCTTCGCAGCCCAGCGCTCAACCACTATGCCACCAGGGGAGGCCCTGGGGCATATTTTTTTATGTATGAAGGCTGAGGTGGGAACTGGGCTGTGCATCCCTCTCAAGCACTCTCACGGAGCAGCTGGTCTGGGGACTGTGCCTTCAGGAATACTGTTCTGAGATAGGGACAGGCTCAAGGGTATCAAAACTTAAATGGCTTCTGGACAACAATTATAGTCTCTAAAACCTGTCTATTTCTCCTTAAGTGCAATTTCAGGTTTGAGACTTTGACACTACACAGAAATTGATTTTATTATCTCCATTGACCAGCTCTTCCTTGAGGGGGAGGACTTACTAGAAAGATTACCACTAGATAAATATGTCTTAAAATGCTCCTGGTGCTTCCATTTGGTACCTCATGTGTGGTTTTAAATCTGGCAAAGGCCTTCAGGCACCATGCTTATTAAACAGAAGGTCTAAATAACCATAATTTTGTCTCTATTTTTCCCTCCACCTAAGTCCCACGACCGGTTGCAGGTTTATGGAGGACACAAGGACATGATTATGTGTATGACCATTCATAAAAGTATGGTGAGTTTTTGCTTTGTTACATATTTGCCTTTGAATGTGTTTACTGAAAATTCTACAAACCCATATAATGTTACTCCTTGCCATTTCAGAAAATGACATCTATTTCTGACATGTCTCACTGTTGAATGACTACCTATTAGCATATTATCGAGAAGTAACCCAGTAACATTGTTGAATATTCCTTTTTCTCTTAGTAGCTAAAATAAATACAATAAAAAGTAACCTTACCATTGAACCGAAAGATTTAAGATGGTTTTAAAAAATTGAGTGGTGCTTTTTCCAACGATATTATATTATGATGTGAATAGAACATTGGGATTGAATCAGGTGATTTGACCAGTGTGGCACAGTCGTAGCAGATATAAAGCAGAAGCTAATTCACTTAACATTGCTAATTCTTGATTTACTTTATTCTTAAATTATGGGCTTGAATGGGTGTTTTTCAAGCTCTGAGCTGTAGAATCCTTTTTCCAATCAAATGCGGGTACCTACTATATAATGCTCAGTAGACGCCAGAGCTACACCAGTTAAAGTAAAAGTGGGCGCCTCTGAGCCCTGCCTGTCAGTGTGGTCCCAACTGTGGCTTTGTAAGGAGCATAGCCTTAAGGTGTCTTGTCTAGAAGATCTAGAAGATCCTTTCCCGCTGTACTCTGGGGCTGGTTTTGGTTTAGGTTTGTGTTTTATTTGACAGCTACAAGTAGTTTGTTTTTTGTTTTTTTTTTAAAGATTTATTTATTTATTTATACAAGCACTGGGTACAGTCAGAAGCGCGGGAGGGTGAGAGAATTCACCAGAGCCAGAGCAGGGAGCAGAACAGGTAGAAGGACCGAAGTACACTGCTGAGGGGAGCAGCGGGCGGCAGGAGAGGTCTGCACGCCATGTGGGACCCTCCTCTGGTGGCCGGGGAGCAGCCGGGGATCGAACCAGCGCTGCAGAGGCTGCGGGCAGCTTCGCAACCCAGCGCTCAACCGCTGCGCCACAGGGGAGGCCCTACAAGTAGTTTTTGACACTGATTTTTAGGATGTTTTATAATCGTTATTTTGGTGGTTTTTTTTTTTTTTTTTTTTTGTCTGATATGGTAAACCTCTTTCTCTAGATTTATACTGGCTGTTACGATGGCAGTATTCAGGCCGTGAGACTAAATCTGATGCAGAATTACCGCTGCTGGGTAAGAAATGAAACTATTTTTGTCATAAGACTTAGGAGTTGCTTAACCCTAGGTTAATTTATGGACCTTTGTTGACATCAGTTTAGCATTTTTATATTTGAGCATCTACTTTATTCCTTTCACTATAGGACAAGGAAGCTTGTTTTTTTTTAAACCCTACATAAAATTCTTCTATACTATTTTAATGAAAAACCTCTTTTAAGATTAGATGTAAGGTATATTTAAATACTGTCCACCCAATGGCTGTCTCCTTGGAGGCTTTTGTTTGATTGTAAAACCAGTACAAGCTTACAAAAATATGAACAGTATAGAAGTATATGAAGTAAAAAATGGAAATGCTTATTTTGTGACCTGCCCACTATAACTGCTTACTATACCATTCCTCAGGCATTAGATATATTGATAGTTGGGTTTGGGCCTTCATTGATTTTTGAGGAACACAATTTAAAACTTTTACACTGTTTATTATAAACTTTAATTTGTTTCATCAGTTCTAATATATCTAAAGATATGAGGGGAATACCTTCTGTTTTTAAACTAAAGGGGTGGCGATAGTACTGACCAAGGGAAAATTCAAATTTGGATTGCTTTTTTGAAATGAGCATGTTAGAATTGCAGTCTTTAGTCGGAATCTCTGTGGGGAGAAAGCCAAGGCAAAACTTGCATGCCTTCTAGTAAGTGAAATTGAACCACATTTATAAGTAAATTTACAGTAAAAAAAAAAAAGTTGGTAGTTGTTATGATACACGTGATAAAGACTGAGTAAAATCAGGCTCCCATTGCAAACACAATTTTTGACAAGTATTTCCACAACGTAGTTTCCTTATCAGACATTTTTATTTTCAAATGTATAACTCAAGACCTGAAGGGTGTGATCCTGTACTTCTAAGTCAGTCATACAATGTTGTAAATCAGTGACACCTCAATAAAAAAAAATTGCTAAAAGCAAACCTTTCAATATTTTTTAAAAGGCTCTCTGCCTTTTAAAATAAATGGTCTAACAGGAAAAAGACTAATTAATACAAAGTAAAAATCAAAATCAATAAGCAACTATAAACCAGAGATACACTATGGGGCAGGGGGGAGAGGAAGGACTAGGGTCAAAATAAGGGGGGGTGCAATTGTGTGGGGAATATAACCAAAATGAAAATGCATACATTATGCAAAAATGAAAAATGATGTAAGAATTATATAAAATAAAATATTTTTTAAAAATAAATAAAATAAATGGTCTAAGAAACACACTTTATCATGGCAAGATAAAGAATAAATATGGCTTACATGAAATTTTGTGGTAACTTGTCTAAATATTTACTGACATTTTCCTTTTCTAACAATGTAATGGCAACTTTAATAGTAGCCATTAATTTGGTAGCTTCCTTATATTTTCTAGCCAAAGAGTAAATTAAAAAATAAAGGGCTTCCACGGTGCTTCTGGGGTACAAGTGAAGAATGTTCTGATTGTATATTTCCTATACACTTTGTAACTTTCTTTCTGTTTCTATGCAGTGGCATGGTTGCTCTCTGATATTTGGGGTTGTAGATCATTTAAAACAACATTTACTGACTGACCATACGAATCCGAACTTTCAAACTCTGAAATGTCGTTGGAAGAACTGTGATGCCTTTTTCACTGCTAGGAAAGGATCCAAGCAGGTACATTAGTGGGACTCAGGTCAATCTGGGGTCATTTGTCTGCTCAGGGCAAGGAAAAGCAAACCTTTTTTTATCTTCTTATAATGTTCAGCATTGCAATAAAGAGTTTAGGGATTTTTCTTTTTATTAATTATTCAGAGATTTGGGGGTAACTTAATGAGGTTTCAAAGGAAGAATTAGGTTGTGTTTGAGAGTAAAGAAAGTTTTCAAATGTTTCAAATCTGGTAACTGAACCCAGAGGCTGTTACAGTGCTTTTGCAAAGACAGAACTCTAGATCAAGTACATAGTTTCATTAGCAAATTAACAAAGAGCTGGATCCTAACTGTCTTTGTGTATGGATCTTAATTGTGCCCATGAAACTCTCTTTGGCTTGGACTTTGTTATTGTTTATTGCCAACTGGAATGTAGGTCAGAAGTGCCGGGGGTAAGAGGATTCACTAGAGACAGAGTGGGGAGCAGAACAGGCAGATCTACTGAATACACTGCTGAGGGGAGCAGCGGGAGAGACAGGAGAGATCTGCTGAGCCATATGTGGGTTAGCTTCCTGGCCTGGGATCGAACTCAGGTCATAGCACTGATAGTGCTGAAACTTAACCCCTATGCCACTGGGGAGATCCCCTTTGCTTTGACTTTTTCTTACTCTGCTGCCAACTATTCTCTCACAGGCCCTTCCCCCTTTATTTCTAGGATGCTGCAGGACACATTGAACGACATGCTGAGGATGACAGCAAAATTGATTCATGAAGTTTTTTTGCCTCCCATGTTGGGAAGTCATTAATGCAACTAATATCACATTGGCCCCTCACACAGGCCACACTCTGTCTCCTTCCACAGGGAATCAGGGAAGGAGGGAAAGAGAAGGTGGTCGGTTGTCAGTCAGGCTTACCACTAGCATAAGTCTGGGCAGCTCTGTGGGGTGATATGTTACACTTTAAGTTCTTGCTGGAGGTTTGTTAGATTTAAACAGATTTTAAGGAACCATACTCCTCTGGAATGGCGTGGCATAAAGTAATTTATGCTACTCATGTTCTCCAGATGTTTATTAAAGATACAGATTCTAATTGGTTACCCAGTTTGGGCTTGATCATAAATTTTTTTTAATTTCAGTTTGTGATTTTTAGTTTATGTTCTTATGATGGTTTAAACCAGTAGTCAGGCTCTTAAGTGTAAGTTTGTTCAAATGCTAGACTTAGGATCAGTTTTAATTTCTCTAGTTGTAATAACTGCATTTGAATTGAAAGCACATAGTTTAATTCTTAACAATTATGTTAGGTGTGTTTCAAGATTCTCCTGCTTGTAGATGGATAGAGCTGGCTTAAATGCAGGTCTTGATGGAGTGCATAGTTTGTGGCAGCACACAGACTTAAGATTTACCTGGGAATTTTGCTGTTAGACTGGGCACTCACTGCTGTAGGTATTGTCAGGCTGTTTAAACTGGAAGTGTAACCTTTATCTCCATTTCTGGTTTCTAACTCTACAAGCCTATTCTAGGCTTGAAACCTTCCAATTTGCGCCATTGCCAATCCTTCTCTGTCCTAGTATCTAGCTGTGCTAAACTGATGGCAGCCATGAAGTACTTCCTCTGGCTTACAGGTTACCTTCTACCCACCTGCAGCTCCCGAGATAGAGGAGTTAGGAAAAAGAGTGTAGGATCTCAAGCAGGCTTCTTAGAAATTGATTTCTGATACTGATGTTTTGCCTTTATTTCTCCACTAGCTGGGAAAGAAGTATGATGAAGATTAAGACTCTACTTGTCCATTGAGAAAAGGAAAATTAACGAAACCTTAGTGAACTTGCTTTGTTTTTTCATTTTCTCTGGACTTAATAAGAGAAGCTGTGATGTTGTATCCTGGTCTTTTATTTCTGGATTCTCAAAACTCTGAAAGTTTCTTTAGAGAGATAAAAGAAGGAAAAAGAATGAATGCTACTCTAAAAGCTTTGGGATGTGGGATGCCATCAGGGCTTATGGAGAAATTGCACGAGGGTATGCAAACCCTCTGAAATTGTATGTGCAAGATTCAGGATGTGTTCTTTTTTTCCAGGAAAAGCTCCACTGGTTCTTACTAGAGCCAAAAAAAAAATGTTAAGAATTAATCTAATTCTTTAACCACATTACTGAGATTTGTGTGATTACTTGAGAGAGAACAGAGACGATCCTATTGCATAAAGAGTATTTGTTCTATTTCTGTATGAGATTAAGAAAAGTTTTCCCATCTCTCTCCCCCATTTCCTATAAGGGTGATCAGAGAAGCCAGGCTGTTCTGTGGTGTTGGGAATTGTGATGCTCCAGGGAAGAACATTTGCGTTTATTGCTGACCCTGGTGTTTTCCTCTGGGCTGTAGTGAAGCCACACTGCCTTGTTGACCGGGTAGTGTGCTAAAGAAAGTCTTGCCTGCTCTGTTGCTCAGGTGCCTTTCTGTCCTGCCTGAGGACATGTCTGAAGAGATGAGAGTGGTGGAACCTTGTACAGCAGGGGGCATGTGAGGTGCTGGGACTTTTTTCACGGGGAACTTTTCCAAGTACAGACAGACTGACTCAGTAAGAACCGCCCTGGGTTTAACTTTGGTGGGATTGTCCAGTCTGTCTGCCTTTGTGTGTGCATGTGTGGAGGTTCCTCATCCATGTGTATACACACCAGGCACCTGTACTTGTAATACTTTTCCTCACTTCACAGTAATCTTTGAAGCAGTGACAGTGTGGTCTTTGTTTCAAAAATGTATAAAATTCATTTAACATCAGGTTAGAGTGTTATCCCGGATGCGCTATTGCGGTCCTCTGTTTAAAAATAAAGGCGCTGCAAGCATTCTGACTGCTTATGGTTGTATGCCGTTACTTTTAAGTATCTTGAAAGTCATGCAGAACGTGGGCTAATTTTGTCTTGACCGATTTGTGCCCGTCTCCCCTCAGAGAAGAGTTTTGGCTCAGGGATTTGCATTTGATGTAGGAAGGAAACTGTTACATAACCTGACAAAAAACTCAACTCATTTCCTATAAGTAGTTGGAGGCTGTTTTTAGAATGTTATTTTTAATGGCCCCCGCCTACTTCTAATGACTGGAAGCCAAGAAAACCACCGCATAAATTCCTTTGTGTGCATGTGCTAGTGTTTTAATGGCAGTTTGTTCTGATAAACTCAGTCAAGTTTTATGCTAAAGTTTTTAATCAGGTTCGGAATGTCTTTGGACATACTCCTTTACTCAGCTATAAAGCAATTAAACCCAGTGCAAACAAAACTCTAAAAGCAAAGAATTATCTTAACCTGATGTTACTTGAATTTGAGAGAACATCATTGCTGCTACACTTCTGCTTTTGTGGGGAAATGTTTTTCTGCCTCAGAAGCATTAGCAGCTGAGTATTTAGTTCCTGACCTACCTATAATTTATAGGCATTATTGCTGTTTAAGTGATTATTTGCCTAATGAAAGGTTGGGATTTTTTTTGGGGGGGGCATAGATTATGCAGTGGACAGCTTTAGTGATTAGGTATGTGGATGATTTGGTGGGAGTAGGTGTACAACACTTAGTTGGATGGTATCGTATATTTTATGGAAGAGAATTTATTGTGAAGGGCAGATTGAAGTATATTGTGGGATTTGAACAGCACGTACCTTGGTTTGCTCAAATAACTGCAATTTATATAAGCTTATGAATTTTGTTTCTTTTGCCTAAAGGAGAGCTCCTAAAACTGTTATGAAGTCCATGCCTGCCACACTGATAAAATAATGATTTCATCCCTGCCTCAAATCATCAGAATCCTTAGGATTTCAGAAAGGTTGTCTAATGGATAGCTATAGAAGTTACAGTGGAAGTGATTTGAGCTATACCGAGTTCCACATGCAAGTCTGTGTGAAATCCTGATGTAAACCAAACTTACTTATCAGACAATAACCTCTAACCTCACCCCCAACTCCAAGTATGTGGTTCTGCTGGGTCACAATGTGACTAGTTTCTCAGATTTGCTCCAAAGTTAAGGTAGTAGCCCTGTGGAATTTGGAATGAGGGGGTATAGGAGAGGTTGTTGAAGATCTTTCTCCTGCTTCAGCAAAATACATACCCTAGAGCTGCCCCAGCACCCTTGGTATCTGATACTTTTTTGTATTGAATATGGATTAGAAGAATGAAATCAGATGGACACCTGGCTGCAAAATATTTCTAAGCAAATAGCCTAGTCTTCTTACATTTGGTATAAAGCTGTGAACTTCATAACTTTGTAAAGCAAGATATAAAACAAATACAAGAAGAAAATAAAGTACTTTTACTAATTGACTATTTGCTTTTGTCACCTTGACTGCATATTCATAGCCAACCCTTTCTTTTCTATGTTGTGTAGAAAGCAAGAAGGAAATTGAGTGGGAAATGCAAGATGGTTACAGATAGGCTATAGACCATGCTCTAGATGATAAATGTGACAAACAGCTACATTTAAGAATTTGTTCAAGGCTATACAGCAAGTCAATTAGCAGTAGAGCTCTGCTTTATTAATACTCTGGTAGCTGTCCCTGAAGTTAAAGGACCCCCTACACCTTATTCTTGATGTCCTTTCTATACATCAACAACTATTCCCCTTTCCTTGTATATCTTGAAAAGTTATCTGAATAATTCCTATACTCAAGGAATAGCAGTAGGCATGATTAAAGTAAGGCTCCAGTTTTGTTTGTGTACGTGTATGTTTTCCATTGTACTGTTCTGAAACTAGGGTTCTCTGTAGGCAATAGGTAAGAATAAGATTGGAAGCCATTTTGCCTTGCTGTGGCAATTATCTGAACATGAGAAAAACAACATGAGAAAAACAACCAACCAGCAAGACACATGCCTTTATTTAGATAACTTCTTTTTTTTAGAATGCAGCCAAATTTGTAAGGCAGACAGCCTTGTGTCCAGGCCTCTTCCAGTGAGCTAGTTTATTCTGGAGCAAGTCCATCCTGAAACACTCAGGCAGAACCAAGTGCTAGTTTGTCCCAATTGTGACAGGGCATAAAGGTGTCAGAGGCTCTAGCACAAGGAAGTGCTGAATACCATTGGCAAATGCTTCTGGGAACAGCCTAGGGTAAGCTAAGGTAAGCACTTGCCTCAGGGTGGAGGCCACTCCAGTTCCTTTCAGCTAGCTGAGGAAGAGAGACGCCTGCTTCCCTGTGGCAAGGGGACAAAATTGTTCTCCTTCATTCCTTTACTAAAGGGTCAGGCGGGGCAGGACAAGAACAGACGCCTGGAGGCCAAGTGGGGAGAGAAGGGGGGGAGGAACAAGATCAATGATCTCCTGGAGCCTGCTAGGAGTACAGCAATTGCATCCTTTGGCTGTAGCTATATTGGGTGAAGTTGAAGTCCTGAGAGATTCTGCAGGGGCTTGGATGAGACCAGCTTGGTTCAGGCATACATGGTGAGCTGCAGCCACTGAAAGAGGAAGTGCCAAGATTAGAACACAAACAAGAAGAGAGCCAGCCTGAGGGAACTTACAGAGGAGGAGAAAAGGAATCTCCCCAGAGAGCTGGACACTAGGGAGATTTTCTAAGAAGCAGCTGTTTACGAAATCCTTTCCCCCAGATCACTCCTGGAAACGTTCATTTCCCAGCATAAAGTCATTTTGAGAACTGAGGTCCCAGGACACGTTCCTGTGAGCCGTCTTCCCCATGGAACTACCCTTTGTTTCTTTGCAAACCCACCCCTCCACCACCATTTGGAAGTGAGCAGCACACAATGGGGTCAGTCTGCCTCACTGGCTGAATTTTAAGGTGCTGGTGGAGTGTACTGCTGCTTTAGGCTTTACCTCTAGAACGTTGAGTTTGATGATACCGTCTCCATCCTTGTCAAATGCATTAAAAGCTCCTGTGTAGAAGAATGCACAGACCAGAGGCCAGTTAGAGGCTCTCTCCCACTGCTGCTGTGACTTAAGAGAACCTTGCACCAAGTGGCATCTGTCAGCACAAAATCCTGCCGGATGCAAAGTTCAACAACAGTCCTCCCTTTGCCACCCCATATTCTGACCCTTCACTTTTATTCGGTCTAGAGAGAGTAGATTGGAGGATGATCAGGCTGAGATTTGTACTGAAAGGCACACGAGAACAGGAAGGTAGTTCCCCACTTACGGAACATGCCCTCCAGCCTGACAAAGCAGCAGATGAAACTGTCAAAGTCGATGTTCATGTATTTGTCTGCATACCGCATGGTGATGATGTCGTAGAGCTGGCTGTTGAGATGGAATCCTGTGGGGCATGCGAGAGCAGGAAGCAGAGTTAGAGCCCTTAGGCCTGCTTCTCTCTCTTCCCTGCCTCGTACCCACTCTGGCCTGGGAGAGGAAAATAAGAAACGCTTTCTCTTTCTCTTAGAGGGCCCTAGTGGCCTAGCCCTCCCCTCACATGCCTTTTCCACCAGGTCCACTGAACATCCCAGCCAGCCCCTCTTCCCCAGCACCTGCGTCATTGACTGCATTTCTCATCTCATAGCTGTTGATGGTACCAGAGTGGTCTGTGTCATACTTTTTGAAAATTTTCTGGCAATAGAAAATTTGAGGACACAGGTCACACATTGAGCCCCTGTATCAACCCCCTCCTTCACTCCCATGCTTCAGTCTCTCTTCCCACCTGCCACGCCTTGATCTTCTTCCAGAGGTGATGGAACTCTTGCAGGTTCAGCCTCCCAGAGCCATCTGTCTGGAGGAGGGAGGTCAGGGCTACAGAGAACATAGCAAACCCCTCTGGATTGGAAGGAGGGGCTCCTAGGGGGCTCTGGAGGGAAGGTAGCCCCACAGGAAGGCTCTACCCGGGATATCCTATTTGCTACCCTGGGGGATTTAACAGCCACTCCTCCCGGTGAAAACCTGCTCTATAATTCAGGGAGCCTAGCCTCAGAACTGCCTTTACTGGGGCAGGGCCCCAGGCAGAATCCCAGGCCTGAGGTCAGAGCAGTGCGGGAGGGACAGGACGGTTACAGCCCATTGTCCTTCCCGACTTGTGCCTACTCCAATATCCAGGATGTTCTGGGCCTCTCAGTCTTTCCTTGGGCATGAGTTTGGGCACTCTGTCCAAACGCTGCCTGACTGGGCACCCCTCTTTGTCCTGCCATCGTGGCTGCACAGATCATGACAGGGCTGGGAAGGACAGGCAGGAAGGATACGTCCATGAGCGCGATCATGCTGCGGCAGGACTCCAGCGTGAAGCCTTGCGACTTCAGGTCCTTATCTGGGAGGAAAGGAGTGGAGAAGAGTGAAGAGCTACTTTCAAGTAACTAGACAGGTCCCACCCCACGCCACCCACCCCTACACGCAGTACAGGCACTCACGTTTGTGCACAACTGTGTTAAGGATATTCTTGAGCTCGTCTGCACAGATCTCCATGTCCTGAGGGGGAAGGGAGTAGAGCATCAGGCTCACGATTGCAGCAGCTGACGGAGCAGAGCTTTGCAAAACCCCAGCTGTCCGTGCTTGTGAGGTTCCTGCCAGTGCTGTTCTCTCACAGGGAAGCTGGGGCTTTTCTGAGCAAGACCAGCACTGCACCCTCAGCTGTTCAGACTGTGGTGGGCAGCTCAGAGCCAGGCCTCAGAGCCCTGCGGTAGCTGTGTCCGTCAAACTCCTAGGACTTGGTGTGGATTTTTCTGCTACACATGCCCACCCCATTTTCACCAAAAACCAAATGGCCTCTTCTGAGCGATGAAATAAGTGGCAACTTGAGCAGTTAAGCAAGGAAAGAAGTATCTGTGGAGTGGGAGTTGCTGGTACTCACATCACCCGCTATCTGCCTAAAAATGTTCCGGAATTGTTGTTGCTCTTCGCTTTCTTGGTCTGTGTTGTCAGGCTGTGGCTGTGGAAGCACAAAGAAAAACTGGCTCACAGGGATCGGCGAGATAGACCCACCAGGAAAGTTCCTTCTGGGCCAAAAGAGCCGGAGTGGCTATAACACCTCTAGGTGGCAGCAGGAGCTGGGTATTGGGCTGCGCCCTTAGTGGAAACTGAGCTGGGGTGAGCATCCTGTAGCCCCAGTAACTTCACTCCGTTCCTCTCCAGCCCAGACATGCAGGCCAGAGGACATCTATTAACCACACAGCACAGAGACAAGCCGCTCGGTCCTCTCCCCCCAGCCCCACCAGTGAGAGCCCTCTCCACCCATGAGGGTTTCGCGCCTGGTCATCCTAATCAGATGAACCCCAGCAGGACAAGAAGGGCCAGAGCATTCAAAACCATCCACCCACCTGTGTTACAAGGCCAAGTGCTCAGAGTACTCCCTTCTCTAACCACCTTCTAGGACAGCGTGGCCCTGGGTCTGTCCATAAACCTTTGCCCTTAGCCTCACCTCCTCCACTAAGCTTTATATGAAAACAGCTCCCCCCACTCAGGTCGAACACCCTACCCTGAGCACTAGAGGACTGCTTTTCTAATGTCAATTCCCTTTACTGCTACTATCTCCTCCGCCCCCCCAACTCAAAGACACCAAGACGTAGGAGTTGTTTGGTTTCGGGGGGCTTTCAAGCTAGTACTGCCTCAGGCTTTGCCTGCCCCTTCCCTCATTGTCCGGGTTGGGTAAGCACCTGAGGGAGGCCCGGCCTGTCCTTCCCAGGCCCTGACTGCCTCGGTGTGACTACCAGCCCCCAAGATATTTACCCAGTCACCCAAGCAGCAGTCTGACTTTTTAGAGAACTTGACGAGTGAGAGCAAATGTCAGTGAGACAAACCAAACCTCTAGGTGTTAAAGGGACAAACCCTCCAACCCCCCTGCACCCAGAGGGCATAGGAGGAGCCCATGGTATGCTGACCACTCCACTCGTTCCACACGCCCAGAAACCTGTGAGGATTTCTCTCGCTTATCGGGGCTTGTTTTGTCTTTTCCCTCCTCTGATTCCTGGTCCACACCCAGCTCCTTGTTGCTGTTTGCTCTGTCCGAAACGAAGATGATAGGCTGGAGAGAGGAGGGACAAAGGGGTGCAGGAAGGAAGCAAGGACTGATTACAGGCTGAGTGGGCACATGGAAGCAGTCTCCCTTCTGGAGCAGCTTTGTCCAGTGAAGAAGACAAAGGCAGGGTTAGGAGATCTTGAACCTCAATTTGACCTGCGGCTCTGCCTCTATCAAGCGGTGTGACTTGAGGTCTCCAGGCCTCAGTTCCCTGTCTCCTCCTAATAGAGCTATGAGGGTTCGATGATGCAGTTCATCTGAAAATACTAAGCATGCCAAAGGCAGCATGATCAAGTGCAATGATTTTCAAATATTTTGTATTTTTTTTTTCAAGTGGAAACACTAATTAAATCTCTCCAGAAGTCCAGCATATATAAAGCCATAAAAAAGAGCTTCTCTGCATGAAGAGGGCAGAGTTTTTTTTTCCTCAGTACCCCACAACACCATGGCGGCTACTGAGGTACATCCATGGAGCCTCTAGGATTCTGCAAAGGATACACTGGAAAAAAGCCTCTGATAAGGGGCGTGATCAATGGTGAGAGGTCAGAGCACTGGGCTGGAATCCCAGCTCTGACCCTCTGTCATCCCAGTTTACTTACTCATTAACAGAGGTGATAAAACCTGCTTTGTTCTTGTGGAGACCAAATTAGATACTAAATGTAAGGTTGTGCTGAGAAAACAGTTTAAGACACTCCTCAAATATAAAGGGCATTTTCTTTTATTGGGGGAGGGGATATTTCCAAAGACATGCTCATGCAAGAGAACAGGATACAAAAGGGATGCAGAGCAGCTGCCATGCTATGCTAATCCTGGCTGGTGCTACACACCCTGAAGGGGAAGCTCAGTGTAGTGTCTGGTGGCTGCAGTGCAGACAGCACTGGGGCAAACAGTCTCAGAGCTGCAAAGGAACCATGTCTCTGAGTCCCCTACTGCCACCCCACACTGTTCATGTAGAGCTGCTAGAATGGACAGACCTACAGAAACCGCTCCCCCAACTTCAGCTCCCAGCAGGCCTCAAAGACCCTTGCTTGCACGTCCTTCTAAGCAAAGGATCTGATGCTTGTGGGGGATTCCAGAGCAAATGGGAGTCACAGTCTGAGCTGGGATATGTGTGTGCGTGGACATGGTGTGGCTATGGGGCACGCCTGCTGGGCACACATCTCCACGCCCATGTGTGGGTCTGGGCAGTTCATGCAGGATGCAGCAGAAGTGAGGGCAAGAAGCATGGGTTTGGAGGAGACTGATAAGGTTTCTAACTCCATTTTTCCCCTTCACTAGTGATGTGTCCCTAAGCAAGCCACTTCACTCCTCTGAATCTTTGTATACTGTTATAACTGGGGAAATGTATGCTTTACCCCTCGCACCATGGTTAATATGTGGTAAGTGTTCTGGCCTGCACCAACACCAATATTTGGAGGATCCTAATAATGGAGCCTGCTGGTTGCTGCTATAAGCACTGACTCCAACCCTTGTCTCATGGCTTGTGGCGACTGCCCCGCAGGCTGGAGAATGCCCAAAGGTCAGTCATTTCATTTCTGTTGGTATTCTGAGTAGTCAAACCACAAATTGAAAAGGCGCACTCTTCATTATAGTCATTACTGCCCTGAGGACCATGGGGAAGCCATGGGGTAAATGGCGCAAGGATGGGGAAGGGTGGAGTTTGAATATTGAACAACGATAACCACAAGTTCGCCACAAAAGGGAGTGTCCTTGCTCCCAGATGGAAGCTTTTTTCTCAGGTCCCCAAGATGTTCTTAGCATACTTAGTCACTTAGCAATGGCGCCCTACAGCAGAGTGGTTATAACCAGGACACTTGGGAGGAACCATTCAAGGTGCTGGTGAGTTGGAGGAAGACGGCTATTAAAACCCCCAGGAGGGGACGCAGTGTAGGTAACTCCTTCCTTCTCTGTTAGGGCATATGGAGCAAGCAGAGTTCATCAGGGCTCTGAGAGGTCATGGTCCCCAAAAGGGATTTGCAATAGGTTCCACCTGCAACAAGAACCCTGTCAGTGACTTAGTGCCTCTGGAGTTCTCTCCCTGTCCTTTCCTAGAAGGCGGAGGAAAAAAGGGGTCGGAAGCAGGCAGGGGAAAGAGAAGAGAGAGTGCAGTTGTCCTGTCTACGCAGCAGACAACAGACCTAGCAAGACCCTCACTCTTGGAAACCATACAACAGTCTCGCTGTCTCTGGAGGAACAGGCCTCATTGCCATCCTAACTCAAAACCAAGGCTTGCTTAGCTTAACCAGACCCCCTTCTGAGAAAGGAGAGGTGTTCCTTTAGGTTTTTGTAGGGCCCACATGTCAGGCCCATGTCTGGCCACCCTCCCCATCCTAAGAGAGGCACAGAGCACAGCAAGTGGTTCAGGGCACAGACCAGAGCAGACCTCTTGGCTCCAAGGCCAGTTCTGTCCCTTACTGGCTGCGTGGCATTGGGCAGGTTAATCAATCTGTGCCTTTCCTTCCTCTGAAAACAGGGATAATTAATGCTAATCTCATAGGGTTGTGCGGCTTGAGTTACCCCAAGCAGCACCCGCAGGAGCGCCAGGCACAGAGCCTCCATGCAGCAAGCTCATTGTTCTGCGCCCACAGCTGCAGCAGGAGCTCAAGAAAGGAGTGGGAGGAGGTGGGATGGTGGGGGAGAGCCTAGCCCGGGGCATGCACAGTCCCACACAAACACACTCCAAGTTCTGACCGCTCACCCTTGCACCTACCTTGTTTTTTTTCTTTTTCTGTACAAGGAAAAGAAACAATAAATACAGAGTAAGTGAAAAGGAAGTTCCTAGAAAAATCTGGTGATTTTTGGCTTCTCTGTGATTTGCTCCTCAGCTTGGGATGAAGTTCTAGAAATCTGGGTACATGGAGCCAAAAGGAAATCTGGAGGGTGAAGGGAGAAAAGAATTCTCCAGGCCCAGAAACAAGTGGTAGCTGTGACTTTGTTTTTATAATCCACTGTTATTGGACCCTGCAAGGAAAACAATCTTCTAGCAAATATTTTGTATTGTTTAATGAAGTTGGTTACTGAAACACCAAAACAAGCAGCTCACCAAACTGGCCTGAAAAATGACTTTTATTTGACTTATTCTTTCTTTTTTTAAAAGCAAATATTTAACATAAGGAAACTTAACATAGAAGTGTGGGTTTGGGATTTATTTTGTAAAATTAGAAAGCCTGGAGGTTGCTCAGACCTTTTATGGACCATGGCCACCATCCGTGGAGCAGGGTGCTGCTGTCTGCACCCTCCTGATCACTAGTCCTCACCTCTCCGGCTGGCCCTCCAACACGAAAAACAAGGGTGAGTTGAGAACTGCAGGCAAATATACTAGTGTAGGGACACCAAACCCCACACCTGCCTGTTCTACTCAGTTAGGTGGCATGCCGGCTCCATTAAACTTTTGAGTTTGCAACTCCTGGTAAATAATGTACACTGCTTATCAACATCCAAAAGATAAAACTAGAACCAAGTGCACTTAATACTAAAACAATTGTCTGTGACAATTCAGAAGGCATTTGGACATGTGGCGTGGGTACAGGATTAGGATTAGAACTTGAGTGTCACTACCCAGAAGACAGTTGAGTGGGGCATCTGCCAGGCCTCCTACTGGCCCACGTCAACCCATAGAGCACAAAGACTGTTTACTGATATAACAAGGCAGTTACATGACTCCTCAACACAAGGATGCTCCAACACACACCAACTCTGTGCTTCTAAGGCCAGACCTCACACACCCCCGGGGGCAGGTCTCAGTATAGGGGGTTGTGGGCGGTGGGAGAGAGCCGAGTCTGAGCTCCAAGAATCTGGACGTGATCTAGTCCTGTTTATTGTCTTTGTGAACCCACTATTTGGCTCCACTGAGTCTCCACTTACTGGAAAACAAAGAATAATAACCTTATTATATCTCAGAAAGCTTGCAAGGATCAAGTGGGAGCGCGCATGAGAGTAGTACCTGTAGGATGTAAAGGACCTGTGGTCAGGCACTTCACATACCTAACCTTACTCATTCAAACCTCACAAAAGCCTTGTAAGACACATATTATTCTCTTTATTTTACAGAGCAGGAAGCTGATTCAGAGGGGTTATGTAATTTTCCCAGGTCACACAGATGGTAGGTGGAGGACCCAGGATTTGCTGGCTCCAGAGACAGTATACATACTTTCCTTGTGTGAGTTACACCTCATAATCCAATCCCAGCTGCTGCTCTTGTCTTCATTCCTTGCTATAGCCTTGATCCCTCCCTACCTCTTCTGCTTCTCCCTTCTAGGACCCTCTTCTGTCCTTCCAGCCCTGGACTGAAAGCACATTGTTTCTGGTCATGCCAAACAGAAGTTGCAGTGGCATGGGGTACACCCCACACACCTTTCTCCCTTTGTCCCTCTTCCTCCATCACCCCTGCCCCCCATAACCATCCCTGCTTGGGATACCGCTAGACCTTCTCCCACATAAGAGCCAAACCACTCACCACTGGCCGATCCACAGAGATTGTATTTTCAACATCCCTGTGAGGAACACAAACACAACAGGGTGTCAGTGTCACCAGAAGCAAGCAGGAAGTACACAGCAGGGATGTGCTCAGGTCACATGGGTTCCTGGAGCTAGGCTGGGGCTACTCTCAAAAGACCTTCAGGAACTAAAATCTATCACCCCAGGAACCAACCCCACATCGGCACCATTCCCAGCAGCCAAGTACAAACATGTGGCTTCTTACTGGCCTTGCCCAGAACTCCCCAAAAGTGCAACCCAGTCACCCACCCCTGACCTTGTGCTCCTTTTAGGGTCAGAGATCAGAGTGGTAGGGCCCATGAACTCTTCTGTGGAGGCCAAGAGAGAAGACTGTGGCCTTGCTGGCTTCCCTGGACCCCCTACCTAAGAGTTATCACCTCCAATACCTTCTATCCCTCTTTCCTACTTTTTCTCTTTATCACTAGTTAAATTAATATATATATATGTGTGTGTGTGTGTATACACATATCTTTTCTTATAGATTGTTGTCTCATGCTAGACTGTTTAGCTACATCCCCATCAAGGCCTATATTTCTTTCTGTTTAATTCATTGCTCTATCCTCAATGCCTACATGAGTGCCTGGAATGCAGCAAGTGCTCAATAAATATCTGTGGAATGAATGAATGAATGAGAGAGAGCGAGCGAGCCAGTGGTTCAACGTGGGGTAAGAGGTGCAGCCTGATCAATATTTCCCACAACTCCTGGGGGAAGCCAGTCCAGCAACCTCACTCCTCCAAATCTCTGGAATGAGCCACGTGGGCTCTTAAGGACTGGTGGGGAAAGCCAGGCCGGGACTCACTCAGAGAGGTTCCTCTTTTCAGAGAAGACGCGGAGGATGAATTCTCCCTCCTGGTGGGGCTCATAGGTGGAAGGCACGATGACATACTCGCTGGGAGGCAGGCGGAAGCGCTCAGACACCTCCCGCATGTTGATGTAGGTTCTACTCCTGGCCTTGGAGGCATTGTACAGGAAGAAGTCCTTCTGCAGGTGCTCCTTGTTCCCATGCATCTGAGGAGAAAAGAGCCCAAGGCACCTGAGCCCCTGGGGCGGGGGGGGGGGGAGGGGGGAGTATGCCCTGTCCTGCCCACAGTCCCACTCCAGAGGTCCCTTCTCGATGTCACAGTCATGACATACCTTTTTACAATTCTCAAGGCCTCAGACATCTCAACATCCCTGGGCTCCCCCACCCCATTCCCCTTCCCTTTCTGTTGTGATGCAGCAGTGGTCAGCTAAGTCTGTCATTTCCTCCCTAACCAGAAACACTGCCAGTCGCTGCCAGGGAAGAACCCCAGGGAGGCAGGCGGGGCCTTGTCTGGGGTCTGAGGGAGGCGATTTCTCCATCCCAAAGGGGACAGTCACCCTTAGAATGTGACTATGTGTGTGACTGTGGAATTGTGTGTGAATGTGTGAGTGTGAGCACACGTGTGTGTCAGTGTTAACAGTTGAACATAACGGTGTGAAAGGACGTGCATGACAGTCTCCGGGCGCAGCGGGAGGGCAGTAGTCAGGAGGTCACGCGACGTCCCAAGGCCCCTGCTCCCAAGGCCCCTGCTGCGGAGTGGAGTGTCATAGTCCTGCCTGTAACCACCCCCGCCCCTCACCCCCTGCCAGGACGCTTCCTGACGTGCCACAGCAGAGCGCAGGACCCCCAGGTAATGGTGCACACAACTGCCGCTGCCACCACTTCTATACCTCTTTGGGAACCTGAGGAGAAACAGAAAAAAGAAGATGCTCTGTGGATTTTAGACCTGCGTGGGGATGAGAAGCTTGCAGGAAGGGAACCTAGCCGTTGTGGGATAAACACAGAAGTCTGACTCCCCTTGTGTCTACCTGGCCTGGTCTCCTGCTCCCCCACCCGGGATTTTTTCCCACTCATTACAAACATCAAAGAGGCTCTGTAGGGGTTCTGGGGTCTGAGGAAGCCCCTGAAATCCTCTTCCTGAGGAGGTGTGTGTTTGCTGGCTGGAGCTTCTCAGAGGCCGCACACCTCGTAGATGGCGAAGCCGATGGTGAAGAGGTTGGCCCCGAGCTTCCGGTCCTTCCGCCGGTTCTTCTGCATCAGGGCCACGAGGAAGCTGCAGATCACCTCGCAGTCATCGGGGTCGTCGTCCTCCTCCAGGAGCTTCAGGCGGTACTGCGGGTTGGTCCAGAAGGTGTCTGTATGCCCCAGGGAGGGAAGGTGCAGTCATTGGGGTGCTTAGTGTATACGGAAGAGAGGATTCAAGCATTTATGCACTATCTAGCTGGAGCTGTGCTGACTGGCTGTGGGATCCCCCTTCCTCTCGAAACGTTCATTCTCAGACTTTCTTGATGTGCTCACTTTCTCCACCTGCCTCTTAAATGCTGTTGGTTCCTGCGATGTGGTTGGAAGCCTCTTCTGTCACCCCACCATTCTGCCCCCCAAGCTGTCTCACTCACTCACTCACTCACTTTTTTTTTAAAGAATAAGTTTTTTTTAACTTTTTTTTTTTAAGATTTATTTATTTATTTATACAAGCACTGGGTACAGTCAGAAGTGTGGGAGGGTGAGAGGATTCACCAGAGCCAGAGCGGGGAACAGACCAGGCAGACAGATGAAGTACACTGCTGAGGGGAGCAGTGGGCACTACGAGAGGTCTGCGCGCCATGTGGGACCCTCGCCGGCGGCCAGGGATTGAACTGGCGCTGCAGAGGTTGCAGGCAGCTTCGCAGCCCAGTGCTCAACCGCTGCACCACCAGGGGAGGCTTTTAATTTTAATTCACTCCCACTTTTAATTGCCTCCGCCTCAATGTCTCTTGACTCCCCCCTGCTTTCCTTTCTCTCTCCCTTCTTTTTTTTTTTTTTTTTTAAAAGATTTATTTATTGGCCTCCCTGGTGGTGCAAGGGGTTAAGCACAGCACTATGAAGCAATCCGCATCCTTTGCAGCAAGAGTTCGGTCCCTGGCCGGCCAGGGAGCTACCCACATGGCACAGCAGACCTCTCCTGACTCGCCTGCTGCTCCCCTCAGCAGTGTATTTCAGTCATTCTGCCTTTTCTGTTCCCCACTCTGTCTCTGGTGAATCCTCTCACCCCCCACATCTCTGGTCTGGACACCAGCTCTTGTATGCATAAATAAATAAACCTTTAAAAAAACATTTATTTATGCATACAAGACCTGGGGTACAGGCCAGAGTCGTGGGGGGTGAGAGGATTCACCAGAGACAGAGTGGGGAACAGAACAGGCAGATTGACTGAAATACACTGCTGAGGGGAGCAGCAGGCGAGTCAGGAGAGGTCTGCTGTGCCATGTGGGTAGCTCCCTGGCCGGGGATCGAACTCATGCTGCAGAGGCTGCAGATAGCTTCATAGGTTGCGTCTTAACCCCTTGCGCCACCAGGGAGGCCTTTCCCTTTCTTTCTTTATTTCCTTCCTTCTGTCTCTTCGTCTTTCCATCCTTTCTTCCTTCTTCCACCAATATATTAGTTCTAATCATAGAACCAAGTGCCATTCTAATCTGTGCATCCAGTTCTCAGGACATTCTAATTCACCTGGAGTCTGACAAGCTTCACACCTTAAATCCAATTTACCTGGACATTCTACAGTGCCTCAAACTTCTCATGCCCCAAGCGACACTGGCTCCACCCACCCAAACCCACAACCAACCCCACCGAGACCAACATCACACCAAGATTGTCTTCTTTGTGTCTTATATTGTGACACTGACACCATCCACTCCCATCCCCAAACTGGAAATCTCCAAGTCCTTCTTCATTCTTCCTACCCACTCACTCAACAGTCTCTCCCCTAAATCTGTCCTTTCCTCTCCATCTCTGCTGCTCCTGACTGGGGCTGGGCTTTCATCATTTCTGGCTTGTACTTTTTCAGTAGCTGCTAACTCCCTCCATCAGTGCCAGCCTCAGCATTATGAACGCAGTGTCCTTCTGACAACGTCTGCCTTGAAGGCTACCAGCTCCGTACTACAAACTTCTCAGCACGGCAGTCTCATCTGAGTAAAATGCAGAGGGTTCATAAGATAAGATAGGCTTGCGACTCAACAGAAACTCAGCAAATGCCAGTTAATATTTTTCTACCTGGAACTTGTTCTGCTTGGCCCTCCCCCACTGCAGGCCTCTCCCACCTGGGAAGTTGCGGCAGCCTCCTGCAGAGCAGCCCCGCACCCAGCGGCCCTCATTCACAGACACCGTCCAGGTCTGAAGCTTGTCAGACTCCAGGGCATCCGCTGTGAGGTTGCAGATCTCCAGCTTCGTGAAATGGTAAATGAAATCTTCATACGACATCCTGGACGGTTGGAAGAAGGAAGAGATGCATGTGGAATAGGCGGGGAGAGGCTGGGAAATGTGACATTGCAGGGTTAGCACAAGAGTTCCCAGGAACTTGGTCACAGGCCCAGACAGGAGTCTGTCTTCTTAGGGCAAACACTATCAGTTGTGAAGTGCCTGCTCTAAACTACCATCTCTTCCAGTAAGGACTCAAACTCATGTGTCCTTGATGGGAGAGCTTGGCGGCAAGTTAGTTCTCCCAAAGGTTCAAAGGTTATCGTGTGCCAGGCCACTGGGCCTCAGGCACTGTACTAGGCTCAGGGGAAAGAGGGAGAGGAGGAGAGAGAGAGACAGAGAGAGAGACACAGAGAGAGAATGTGTGTGTGTGTGTGTGTGTGTGTGTGTGTGTGTGTCAGGGAAGGACAAAAGCTAAGCAAAAAATCTAAACAGTGATGATTGTCACAAACAAATCAATTCCAGTATTTGGGAAAACAAGGGAGTCTTGAAGGAAAGTCCCTTTCAGCTGAGACTTGAAGAATAAGTAGAAATGAGGTTAGTGATGGTGAGGGTGCAACTGGGTGAGTACAGTAAATAGAGCTGTGCTGACTCAGACAACAGCTGTGGGAAGGCCAGGGAGCAGTGGGGGAAGCGGGGTGCTTGTTGGAGGGGCTCAGGTGAAGGAGGAGCCACCTTGTGCAGGCCTAGTCCTGGGCTCAATCACCACTGTGACCTGGAGGGCTCCTCTTAGACCTGCATCCTGGCTGGTCCTCCAGCTGAAGAAAGAAAACATGGCCGAGATCTCCCAAGGCCTGGGTTCTGACAGCGTCTGTTCTGGGCTTGAGATTTGAGATTTCAGTTCCCAACCCCATCCCATAACCTTCAGGGGCCTCCTGGGTCCTGGACTCACCAGAACTCTCCATCCTCAGTGACCAGGTGCTGCAGACGGGCCTTCTCATCCTTGTCCACAAAACTCCAGTCCTTCCAACTAGAGAGAAATGAAGCAGTGATGGATGGAGGAAGAAAAAAAGCCCTGGTGTGGGTTGGGACAGGAGGTAGCAGAGAAATAAGAAGTTGAAAGAGACACGTCTCCAAATTGCAGCCAGTGTGGTCCATCAACACGCAAATATGATCTGGTACCCTCGAGTGTAAGTTACTTAATTGATTCCCACCATCTGCAGGATTCAGATCATTCTCCTTCAATGGACTTAGAAGGCTTTCACCCTTCTCTGACTGAATCATTTACTCCTCCTCACACTTTAAAGTTTAAGAAATAGAGGAAATCTAAGCACTGGCGAACACTCTTCAGCCATGACCACATCTGCTCCTCACAGCAGCCACTAGGTAAGTGTTACAATGGTTTCCATTTTACAGATAAAGCAACAGAGACTCCAAGAAGGGAAATCCCTTGTCCAGAACAGTCCTGTGCAGTAAGATTCATCTCCTGCCTGGACCTATTCTGTGCTTTCTAGATCTTTCCTTTTGAGTCATTGACCATCAGCAAACTCTTTGGATCTCATTGCTGTTTTGGGCCCTTCTCTGGAGCCCACACCTCTGGATCCTCTTCAACACTGCAGAAGATTGATTTTGAGGATAATTTTAGATGAAATAGTTGTAGTATTCTTGTGGCTCGACCTGGCTTTGCCTCAGGCTCTGTTATCCCCTATTCCCGGGGTCTCCTCACTTACCCATCACTCCAGGAGCCAATCCACTCCACCTGGCCCCAGGGGTTCCGCAGCCGCACCAGCTTCACTTTCTCATCCTTGAACATGGTCTTGGGCAAAGAGAAAAACTCTCTTACTCTGGACCCTTTCTGGAAAGGGGGGTCTTCTGTCTTGCTCTGGGGACCGGGACAGGGACGGGGACAGGAAGCTGTCCTGCCTAGTTCTGGTCAGAAGCTCCTTGAGGAATGGCAGGCAAGGGGTCAGAACCTTTGGACTGAGTCCACTAGTGTCATAACTTGGCCACGGCTTTACCATATTCTGAGAAGTGGTTTTTTTTCCAGGGAGCATCTGGCCATTTTGAGCATTAGAGGAGGAGGTAGGACATATATAGTAGAACCTTGCTAACAGATTAGTTGTCTTTGTGTGGACCAGAAATGCACCCCTGCTGGCTGAGAGACTGCAGCTAAATGTGCCCTCCAGATGAACCAGATAGAAAAAGGTGCCCCTTCCTCCAGTCTGCTGCATGGCCTGCTGCAGATGGCTGCCCTGTGACCATGCCTGACCCTCTCTGCCCATCCTAACCTAACTGTGTGCAATGCGCCTGACAAAGGTTCCTGTCTCACATGACCCAGGAAAGGCCAGACGTCCCAGCAGATGCAAAGCACAGTAACTGTTTGACCAGGAGAGAACAGAAAGTATGGAATCAACTTCAAGAGAGTCCATGAACTCAATGTCATAAAATCAAAGTGATTTCTATTTGGTCCTTGGAAATGTTGGAGAAATTGCCATCTTTAGAACTGAAAGATAACCGAGCATGATCTTGGTGCAAAGATCCTCCCCTACCGCCCTAATGGTCCCCTCCAATTTCAGACACTTTCCCTTGAGTAGATCCTCTGACTAGAGGCCAGCTCCGGAGCCTCACCAACCCTGCCAGCCCCGTCAGGCTCACCTCATCTAGGCCAGTGACAGAGTAGGCATGGCCTTTGACTAGCCCGCAGGCCATTCTTGTCTCATATTGAACTGGAACAATCGTCTGTGGAGCAAAAACCAGACAGTCTGTCAGGCACGGGGGAGCAGAGGTTCTGCTGCCTGAGACAAAGTTCACATTTGTTCATTTTCTGTGAGGACAGGACCATTCTATGCTCTGAAGTGTGCCTCCGGGTCATGAGAACACCCTCACTGGCCCTTTAAGAGAGTCAAGAAGACACAGCCCTAGATAAGTGTTTCTCTCTAGGTGTCATCCTGAGAAGGTCTGTTCTGACCACAGGAAGCAACATGGAGCCTGGCCTACAAGATGGGAAGGACAGGGCCCTTCCTTTCGGGATCCTTTGGGGTCTTTTCGCAGGATGAAGAGGTCAGATGGAGGCTCCCTTTTCCTCTGAACCCACCCAAGGTTGATTATTTCTGAAAGTAAAAGGGACTGAGAGAAGGGGTTAGGCATATAGGACTAACATTTTTTCTTTATATTTCCTCACCTCCTCCACACGTGCCTAGAACATGATAATCAAGATATGACGTGTCATAGCTCCCTGGGAGAAGATTCTGAAGGGGCCAGAGGAGAGTCCCACTCAGACATGACTGTGCCTATGGGTGCAGATTTTGCAGATCCCCCAGTAGCAGCCACAGGAGAGCCTTGCAGAAGGGTAGAATCACCAAAGCCTGGAACCCTAGATGGGGCCTCTATGGCTTCACTGTACCTGGTAACTTAGCAGCTTTAAGGGGAGCTTCCTGGCATGATGCTGGGCTGTGGAATTCCCAGAACATTTTCAAGCTGAGGGGTGGGCCCAGGGCCTCTCAGCCTCTTCCAGATCTGAGTCTGTTTATGACCCAGGCTGAAGTGGGGAGTGGGTGTGGGAGGCTGGGAGGGGAAGCAGAGTGTAGGGCTCCAAGGAGGTGGGGGAGGAGAGCAGAAGATTCACCCAACCCTTGGGTCTAGACTTGGGAAACCACTTGAAATGACTCTTTGGACATTACTTGTACAAACCTGGCAATTCCACTGCTGGCAATGTGCCCAAAGGTAATTATCAAGGACAGACATAAAGATGTATCTAATACAATGTTCATTATAGCATTTAAAAATAAAAGCCCGGGCCTCCCCGGTGGCGCAGCGGTTGAGGGCTGGGTTGCAAAGCTGCCCGCAGCCTCTGCAGTGCCGGTTCGATCCCCGGCTGCTCCTCGGCCACCAGAGGAGGGTCCCACATGGCGCGCAGACCTCTCCTGCCGCCCGCTGCTCCCCTCAGCAGTGTACTTCGGTCCTTCTGCCTGCTCTGCTCCCCGCTCTGGCTCTGGTGAATTCTCTCACCCTCCCGCGCTTCTGACTGTACCCAGTGGTTGTATAAATAAATAAATAAATCTTTAAAAAAAAAAGATTAAAAAATTCTAAAAAAAAATAAAATAAAAATAAAAGCCCCCCCCCACCAAAAAGAAAAAAAGGAAAATTGAATTTCCCAGCAATAGGGTATTGGGTAAGTAAATTATAACCTATTTGTATGTTGGAACTTTGTGCAGCCACTAAAAAATGTTGTAGGAGTTCATAAGAAGATAATTCACTAAAAAAAGCACACTATAAATAAGTAGATACAGTATGATAACACTTCAAAAAATTAAAATTTAGGTTTAAGCTATGCACAGGAAAACCATGGCAGGACATATACTAAAAGTTAAGGGCTATTATCTTTAGGTGGAGAAAACATAGGTTGATTTTGCCTCAGCTTTTCTACTCACTGCATACTTCTGAAAGTACTAGAATCTAAGCTCTTTATTTTGTTCAGTAGGATAAGGAACAAAAAATAGGATAGTGAACAAAATGGACAGAATTTTCTTTGATGCCAGAAGAGTTTTGGTGCCTAATAGGGACTCAATAAGTACGTGTGGAATGAACAAATGAATGGATTAGTAGAGAAGAAATATTTTTAAATAAATGGAATCTCTCTATTTCTACCTGCTAATTTATTATCAGAGGAACTGCCTGGACCATGGCCTATGAAGGAACTCTCGTGGTGATCTCTCCAATTTTTTTTTTAAGATTTTATTTATTTATGCATACAAGAACTGGGGTACAGGCCAGAGTTGTGAAGGGTGAGAGGATTCACCAGAGACAGAGTGGGGAACAGAACAGACAGATTGACTGAAACACACTGCTGAGGGGAGCAGCGGGTGAGTTAGGAGAGGTTTGCTGAGCCATGTGGGTCTCCTCTCTGGCTGGGGATCGAACTTGTGCTGCAGTGGCTGCGGATATCTTCATAGGTTGTGTCTTAACTCCTTGCGCTACCAGGGAGGCTCTGATCCCTCCCATTTCTGTCTCTCCCACTGTCTTCAGGAGCCTTGGAAGGCCCAGGTAGGGTCTGTGTGTAAAGCACTGGCAGCTGAGGGGAGTCCGACCCCACATGCAACAGGTCTGGTTACGCAGGTTGGAGGGAGGTCATCCCAACAATTGAGTCATACGCACCCGAGTTGGTCTGTCATCTGAGATGAGGTCTGAGTCCCTGAGCCGCGAGTTATCCATATTCCTCACCATGCGTTCAATCAAGTCCCCCATTTTCAGCCCAGAAGGAGAGGTTCCATAGGTCATGTTGGTGCCATCCTGAAGCCGGAAGGGGAAGGGAACAGTCCAGGAGAGGGGGAGAGAGTAAACAAAGGAGGGTGACAGAAAAGGGCGGGGGTAAAAGGAAAGGAAAAGAGGGTGATAAACAAGGCATGAATGGAGAGAGACGGACACCAGCGATGCAGAAAGAACATGTTCGCCCACGGGTGTTTTCTGCTAGCTGATCTTTCCAAGCTTTCCTAGTCATTGGGAACACTGGGAGAGGAAAGAACAAGATTCCATCAGGGCCCTTCCTTAGGGCCTTCCTCTGGGTGGAAAGCACCTTCTTCTGGGTGGAAAACACCCAGACCATTCCGCTTTGAGCAGTGCATCGGGCAGGCATGTCTCCTGAAACCCAGGGGCTCTGGCCAGACTGCCCTCTCTTAACCTTGACTCTGGTCTCCGTTCATGCCACTTTGCTGCACTGAGAAGGCGACTGTAAGGCTGAGCTACTCCCAGGTTACAACGCAGACCCCATGTTCCAAGGGCTAGGAGGCTTTCTAGGCAACTGGAGGACTCAGGCCCGTAGCAAAGTATGAGGCCAGCTCCATGGAGGCTTGCTAGACTGACCAGCATAGACTATAGACACCCGTGCTGACAAGGGCTCTCTGGTCCTAGTCCACCCACAACCCGGGACTCGGAATGTCCTTGCCAATCTCTTTTTTTTCATTTTTATTTTTATTTTTTTTTATAGAGGCATGTTTATTTCTTTGTTTGTTTGTTTGTTTGTTTGTTCTGTTTACACATGCACTGGGTACAGTCAGAAGCGCGGGAGGGTGAGAGAATTCACCAGAGCCAGAGCGGGGAGCAGAGCAGGCAGAAGGACCGAAGTACACTGCTGAGGGGAGCAGCGGGCGGCAGGAGAGGTCTGCGCGCCATGTGGGACCCTCCTCCAGTGGCCGGGGAGCAGCTGGGGATCGAACCGGCGCTGCAGAGGCCGCGGGCAGCTTCGTAACCCAGCGCTCAACCGCTGCGCCACCGGGGAGGCCCTTTTTTTTTCATTTTTAATATATTTTATTTTACATAATTCTTACATCATTTTCATTTTTGCACAATGTATGCATTTTCATTTTGGTTATAGTCCCCATACAATTCCCACCCCTTTATTTTGACCACAATCCCTCCTCTCTTCCCCCCCCTCCACCCCATAGTGTATCTTTGGCTTATAGTTGCTTGTTGATTTTGATTTTTTTCTTTATTATAATTAGTCTTTTTCCTGCTCCCTTATTTAGGTTTTCTAAATTCCTGCTATGAGTGAGACCATCCGGTATTTTTTTTTTTTTTTCTGGCTTATTTCACTCCTGCACTGCTGGTGGAAGTGCAAAATGGCCCAACCACTATGAAAGCTACTAAACCACCTACTAAAGATAGAGCTTCTATAGGATCCAGCAATTCCACCCTTAGGTATTTACTCAAAGGACACAGAAACATTAATTCAAAAGGGTACCTGCCCCCCCTATGTTTATAGCAGCACTATTTACAATAGCTAAGCTTTGGAAACAACCCAAATGCCCAAAAATAGATGACTGGATCAAGAAGATGTGGTCCATATACACCATGGAATATTACTCAGCATTCAAAAAAGATAAACACATGCAATTTGCAGCAACATGGATGGAGCTGGAAGGGATCATGCTCAGCGAAATAAGCCAAACTCTTTATTGAAAATGCCCAGGAGCTCTTCTTCCTTGAGAAATTTCCCATTTTCAAAGTTGAATGCCATTTCCTGCTTCCTAAAACAAAGCATTCACCTTGCCCCTGAAGAAACTCCTATGCTGTTATTCATTGGGTAAAAGGTTTCCCTGTAGTTGGCTGCTCCCTGCCTTGTACCCCACAACAGAGCCAGACTTACATCAATGGAGCAGCCCATGAGGGAGCCTCTCTCGATAGCTTTCTTCATGATCTTGTACATGTCTCTGGGAGCATCCTTAATCTCAAAAAACTCTGTTACTCCTCCCGTGAAGTCTTCCATGGCCTCTGTAGTGTTCCCACCTTTCAGGGCTTCATAGGAACCATGGAGCCTTGGAGAGAAGATGGAGATCACTCTGGAGTCACAGTGCTCCAGGAAACATGCCCCAACACCACTGCCCCCAGAACTTTCCTCTTGGGGTCTGTGAAATGTTCTCTCATCTGATTCTCCCAACCACCCTGTAAACCAGTGGTCAGTTACTTTGATTCCCTTTCCTCATGATGGAGAAACTGAGCTCCAGAGGCTAAGTGACTCATTCAAGGCCATAGCAGCACCAGGCCAGAAGCCAGCACGCCTACTTTCTGATAGTTTTCTTTTCACTCTTGCCTGAATCCGAGGGAGGGCTCCTTCATAGCTGGGGTGGGGCTTCTATGTTAACAGACAATGCAATTTTATTAATAATATGCTGCAACCTCATAATGTGGAACGAAGCAAGATCTTAGGATTTGAGCTCCAGAGATGTAAGGCTTGGATCCAAGACTTGCAAAGCCACCATGAAGGCAGAATTAAAGCTCTCTCTCTGGAAAGTTAAAGACCTCCAGCACATCTTCTCTTAGACATAGTTTTCTTCCTTAGAGCTGCTGCTCCTGGACCTGATCGTCTCTGACTTTGGGTCAAAATTGAACACACACACACATGCACACCCCCCCACACTCACATGCACACCCCCCCCCCACACGCACATGTGCTTTTTCCCATGAGTGACACCTCAGCTGGATTTTGCAGCCGCTTTGTGACCTCTAGCCCTGCTTCATTCTAAAGTGTTGCCTTACTTAGCATAGGCCTTCTCCAGCAGAGCACTCCAGAACTCATTGCGGTGGTTGGATTTGGTGAAAACCAGCTGATTGTTGTACGTTGGCAGGCAGTCATCGATAACCACGTCCACCCAATCTCCATAGCGCCAGAACTGCACAAAAGTGGCAAGGCAGGTCACATCTCATATTACTTTTGGGAAATAAGTTCCTACTCCACTTTCCTTAAAGGTCTCTTGATCCCCAAACAGCCCCCTTTCCTTGACTTTACATCTTGGTGTTGGGGGGGTGCAAATCTTTCTCCAAGTGGACTGGGAGCTCCTACAGGGTAGCAAGTGAATTATAAGCATGTCTCTTCCACAGTGTCCAGTCTAGTATGGGGGGCAGTAGGTGTTCTGTGCATATCTGAGGACTTAGATTTTCATTTGCACAGTAAGGCTGGGCTGCGGCCAAGGTAACAGTATTTTCAGGTCAGCTGACTCTAATGCACAAGCCAGGGTTGATAAGTATTGGTCTAGGTGTTGTATTGACTGATGCATTTCTCAATGACAAAATAGAAATTGCTGCTGAGGAAGGATCCACGTGGAATAGGAAAGTGACCCAGAATATACTCTGACTTTGGCAGTAATATTGTCTAATGATTTCACTTTGGGATTGTTTTTTTTCAAACAGATCAGTTTTAACTCGAGCATATAATGTAATTTAATTTCCTTCTAATGACATTTTCTCCCATATTAAAAAGTGGGCAAACATTTTTCTGGTCTTTGCATTTATAGCTTTTTAGATAAAAGACCATAAATATCAGAAAAGGAAGTCAGCAGCTTGATGGTACAGGGAAGAAACAAAATTCAGGGCTGGTTGCCTGACCTGACCTTGGAGGGCAGCAAGATGTTGATCCTGAACCTGTAGAGAAGCCCTTTTCTGAGGCCGTTAGTCCTGAAGTGAAAGAGCCACAAGCACATTAAATGATGATTTTGATCAATCCTAAGACATTAGTGGCCTGTCAGGTGGAAACAGGCTGGCTTCTCAGAACTGGTCTCTGCTAGATGTATTGCACATTTCAGTTCTGGGCCCGCACCAGGATTTGACTCTAAGCCAGGACAATTTGAATCCAGAAAGATATCAATGACTGACTTAATTCTGGAATCAGAAGACTCACTTCTAGGCCAAATCAGAAGCCTGGGCCCCAGATTCATTGTTCAACAGTGTAGAAGAGGTGGGTGAATGACTTAATATAGATTTGCCTTAACAGGAGACAAACAGGAACTGCAGTTGTGGATGGGATTACCTTTACAGAGTAAAGGACCTCTGGGTAGATTCCCAGTGTGAATCCCTAGTATCTTAGGGGCCGACTTGGGAAGGAATATGGTAGTAACACAGCAGCCAGTCAGCTGCAGGGGCAAAAATAGACCCACAGACCAATAAACAGGATGTCTCCCTGACTTCTGGAGCAGGGCGGAAGAGGGAGGGTTGTTGGGGGGGAACAGGCATAAACAACTGTTTCCTCACAGGTCTGAAGACTTAAGGGGCTCATTGCCCACAGCCATGACTGGAAGTGTGGGCGGAAACTCTCCTGGAGCCACAGGGAAGTCAAGGCCAGGAAACCAGTGTGGGGGTTGGGCAGCAGCTGGCCCTCTCCACTCCAATCCCATTATCTTACCTGGAAGTGGAAGATTCCCGCATAGTTTTCTGTGAAGCTCTGATCATGGGGTATCACTCGGAAAAGCAAGTGCTCGTTCAGGGTCAGGCAAGCGATGGCTGCCAGAAACCAGCAATCCCCTGCAGGCAAACACGTGGCCCAAGTCACAGGAGGGGCCGCCTCACCAGGGAAGGAAGAGGCCCAATCCCAGCTGCTCTGCTTCTCTGAACAGGGTTCACTGGGTGCTCACTGTCCTACTTCCAGATCTGACCTCACAGGTGTCAACCCGGGGAAGGAGCTGACAGCAGTCCCTTGACAATACACTGAACAGGGCAACTTACTCCTATGGGACTGGTTTTCCCAAAGGCTGTAAACAATTCCTCTACCTCAATAAAAGCTCACTTCCTTTGTGGCTCTCAGTGGAGACAGAGCAGTAGGTGGTCATAACTGGGTCCTTCTTCTGAATACCTGTACCTACCCCCACCCAGAACGCTTGCAGTGTGAGTCCACTTCCCTGTCTCACCTCAAGACAGGGATTTTGAGAGCCATCAGTCAAGCCACTTTGTAGTATAAGGAAAGCCAGTGGCTGCCCCGGTACAAGTCTATAGCGGACACTAAGACTTTGCTGATAATGAAATGAGATGGGGACATTTTCTGATTCCTTGAATTTCCTTGCTGGCAGAGTACTGTATGTGGTCCTAGGCTACACGGGGAGGGGATGGGGGTGGGTGGGTGGGGAATGCATATGAGCACACACATTACATGTATTTGCTTGTGCACATATAAATACTCAGGGGTCAAGACTGACGAACTGCTTTATAAGGGAGACAGGTTAAGTTATGCAAGGCCTTTGTTTTGCCCCATGGGATGTGATGGCAGATTTGACACTTCAGAGTAGAGCTTGGGAGCTGCCAGCAACCTCCACCCTCCAACCCAAGCAGCCAACCTCTCTTTTAAAACAGTTTATTGGTTAGAAGGACCCAGACTCTATGTAAGCTTCCTCGGGGCCTCCAAGACAATTTTCCTTCTGATGCCAGAAACTCAGATATCCAACACTTCAGACTCTGTGAGACCAAATAAGGCAAATTCCTTACATTTGGGTGCCCTTTTTCCTCAAGTTTTAAATTGTCTCTGTTGACGTTCTCTCTAGAGTTTTCCCACAGCCCACGCCCAAAATAATGTTTCCTGAGCCAGAGAGAGAAAGAGAGAGAGCGAGCATGAGCGGAAGGTCTGATGCATCAGCCAAGTTAACTAATCAAACAGAAAATTGGTAGCTCCTTCACATGTCACATGTCATCTTTGTTGAAAGACTCCTTAAAGATCAGGCATTCTGAGGCATTTAAATAAGAGTTTAAATAGTAAGTGCTCTTTTCAGTGATGCACTTTTTGTTTGTATATAGATTTTGTTTTTTTAAGATTTATTTATTTATGCATATAAGAACTGGGGTACAGGCCAGAGGTGTGTGGGGTGAGAGGATTCAGAACAGGCGGATGGACTGAAACACACTGCTGAGGGGAGTAGTGGGCAAGTCAGGAGAGGTCTGCTGTGCCGTGTGGGTAGCTTCCTGGCCAGGGATTGAACTCGTGCTGCAGTGGCTGTGGATAGCTTCACAGTGCTGTGCTTAACCCCTTGCACCACCAGGGAGGCCCTGTATATTATATATAGATTCTATGTCCGCAAGGGAAGGGGAGGTACACAGACAGTCTCAGAGCTGTTTTTTAAGGAAGATGAGTATAGTTAAGAGCAGGACTGTTGTCTGGCTGAATGGGGCATGTGAGTGTGCCTGAGAAGCTAGAGGGGTGGCTGTGAAATGAGGCAGACTTCCTGTGACACCAGGCAAAGGACTAATGATAACTGTGGGAGGATCAGAAATTAAGTGAGGGAATCACCAGTTCCTAGATAAATGAGCATAAAGTCCCAAAAATTCATCAAAAAAAAAAATTTGTCCCTTTGCTTCTTGTAAAGGGATCACAACTTTTAATCACCCCTTGATTATTGGCCTGAATAAGACCCCCGAGTCTTTCCTACCAAGATCTCCTTGACAGATGTCAGTTCTGTTGGCTCCACCAATGATAAAGCGAGGATTTTCACAAATTTCCTACGAAACAAAAAGGAAGTTATAACAGTAGTAGCAGCTGTTTACTGAGGTCCATTATGCAGCACTTGCAACCTGAATCAGGAGTTTTACACATACACCCATTTAAGCCTCCAAAAACAGCCCTACAAATTGGATACTATCACTTTTATTTTTCAGATAAGGAAATTGAGGTTCAGAGGTGTTAAGAAACTTGCCCAAAGATACACAGGTAGTAAGTATTAGATGCCAGAAGCACATCTCCTTTCCCCATCGCTCCGCACTGTCATACCTTCGGGGTGAGGCTGTATCCTGAGACTTGGGGTAGTGTCAGCACTGCAGTGGTCTTGGCAAAGGGATAACAGAAGCATGGCTTTTGCATTTTTTTTTTCCATGCCAAGAGAAAAGGTGCAGGAGAAGAGCAAAAAAAGGATCTTTCTTCCCACCATGTGGTAATTGATATTTAGAATCAGCATGTTTCAGGGTCCCTGGGACTTGAAAATTTCCCAGTTTTCAAATATAAAGTTAATTTCATGTGGGTGACTCAGGCCACCTTGTCTGCTGGAAGGTGTGTGTGTGTGTGTGTGTGTGTGTACATATATACACATACATAAACACACATGTATATGCATTTACACACACACACACACACACTATATCTATATATATATATATATATTTTTTTTTTATTCAGACATCTGATACGGTATCATGTCCCCAAAACTTTTCAAAAGCCCAGGTACGCGAATCCCGTGCATTGTGAAATTTCAAGTTAAGCCCCTTCACTTTTATGAAAGACTTACTTTAGTGTAGTTGACTTTAGTACAATGACCATAGAGCAACACGGTTTTGAACTACATACATTCACTTATGTTTGCATTTTTTCTATCCTGGGTTCCACAGGCACAGATTCAACGACCGACCAGGGTGCCGCTGGGTTGAATCTGCAGCTGCGGAACCCGCGCATACGGAGACCCTCCTTAAGGCATGAAGGGATTTTTCAACGCAAGGCCGAGGGCACCCCTAACCCTCGTATTGTTCAAGGGGCAACTGTACTTGTTTTCACTAGCCGAAAGAAACTCAAAGAAGATTTCCACTTTCCGAAAGTGGCCTCCTGTGTTGGGCTTGCGGCCTCCGTCCAGCAAGCGCCTCGAGCAGCCAGAGCAGCGCCTTCGCCTTCCTGGGAACTGCTTTCTACAGGTGCTGAATTTATTATATCAGCCTTGCTTTTACTGTACGTTACTGCTGTTTCAGGTTTTATGTGTTATTGGCTATGATTTTTAAAAAATATTTATTTATTTATGCATGAAAGAGCTGGAGTATAGGCCAGAGCTGTGGGGGGTGATAGGATTCACTAGAGACAGAGAGGGGAACAAAACAGGCAGACTGAGTGAAACATACTGCTGAGGGGAGCGGCGGGTGGGACAGGAGAGGTCTGCTGTGGGTAGCTCCCTGGCCGGCCGGGGATCGAACTCGTGCTGCAGAGGCTGCAGATTGCTTCACAGTGCTGTGCTCAACCCCTTGCTCACCTATTTGCTATGATTTAGTAGGTCATTTTGGGGGCCTGAGAACACTAAAAATACGTCCATATGCAGTCAGGTGTTGCCGTGCGTGGTCAACAGCAGAGCATAGACTGATGGTGCCAGCGGCCTACACCCAACACACCGGCCTCGGAGTGTTGCAGCGATACCATCCTGTTTGTGTAATCACACTCTTCTGACATTTGCCAGACGAAATTTTCCGAGGACGAATTTCTCAGAGAGTATCAGTGTGGTTAAGCGACACATGACTGAATGATGGCAACTGCTTGCTCATTTCAGACCCTCCCAACTTATGAAAGGTTTAGTGGGCACAGGGTTGCTTTCGGAAAATGGGGGAAACCCCTACTACTGCTTCTGTGCAGACCAACAGCGGCCAACAGAGGGCGCTCTTGCTCCATTTGCGTGTGCCACGGTTAGATTTTAGACACTTAAATTTGAAAAAAGTATAGATCCCATGTTTTGGTTTTAATACCATCTTCTATAGCTTCAAGAAGTGTTGCTATCCTCGTGACACAGCCCCCTCTCTTTGTTTCTGTTTCTCTGCCACCCCCCATCCCAACGATCCTATATACCCAACCCTGGCCCTCCTGCTACATGAGAAGCCTTGCTTAGAATACACCGCACACACCTCTCATTTGAAACTCTTAATGCAATAGCAAGAGGCAAAACCAATTAATTTTGAAAAGGTTACCTATGGGAGAGGGAGGGAACAAGGTAGTGGGAATAGGGATAGAAGTAAAATTCTGAATGGAACTGAAAATTGTTTTGATCTAGGAACCATGGAAAGTTTTGTAGAATTAAAAGCCAAAATTTAAGGAAAGATAATTTTTTTTTACTATTTCCTTTGTATATATTTTATTTTTATTTTGGTATTTATTTTTTTTAATATTAACTATTTTTTCACATCGTTGTTCATTTTTAAACAATATTTGCTCCCCCCCACCCCCTCAGGTGTAGTCCCCATAGAGTTTCCTTCCTCAATGCACCGGTGCACCATCACCTCAGTCCCCTGTGCTCCTCCCTCCCTCCCTCTGATCCCTCTCCCTCCTCCTCCCCTGCAGGATGTCTCTGACTTATAACTGTCCTTTTTTGCTTGGCTGTGTTTTGTACTGTTAATATTTTTTTTACACCGATGTCTTATTTGGTTCCCTATATTCCTGCTATAAGTGAAACCATGCAATATATATATTTTTTCTTTCTGGCTTATTTCACTGAGCATAATTCCTTCTAGTTCCATCCATGGGAAAAGATAATTTAAAAAGGCAATCTATAAAAACTGATACCAAATTAACACAAAGCAATTTAACTGCATGTTGCGTGGATAACATGACAACACAAATAAAAAGACTAATTTCAGGTGACTTAGGATATAATATTTTGGTTGTTTATCCCTTTTGGAATATAGGCTAAGGTCAAAAATCAAAGCCATAAGGAAATATGAACTGTAAGAAATAAAAATAATTTTGTTATTTTTTCAAAACTTTGATATGTTTTCTGTAAGTTCAAGTAATTTAGAACTTATATTAATGTAATTATAACTAAGGTTTTTTCGTGTAAAAATTTATAAAATTGAAAAATCTTAAAATAAGTCAAGTAACAACCCTGCAGTGTTAAAGTTGAATTGAATATGTAAGTATAACTCATGATTTTTTTTTTGAGTCTCTAGAAAGTATTTTGTATCCTTATGCACTAAAAAAACAAAGCAAAACCAAACAAAAACCTAGAAGCATTAACAGTCTAGTATACTAGAGAGAGCATTAACATCCTGATTATGTTCTTTAAGAACTATTTCCCACTGAAAAAAAATATAAAACTCTCATTCCAATGTTTTTATTTTAAAAACTAGTCAATTAAGAAGTACTGGACATAAGTTATTTTGTTTCTCCTGTATTTTGCCTCATTAGAATACATACCCCCTTCTCTTGGCAGTACACCTTAATTTTCCATTGTCAGCCTGTGTCCTTCTGGTGGACCTCTCCCTTCACTCAACCACAGAGGTATAGTAGAGGCAATTAGAGTAAGAGTAATTCGTTCCAGGATGGACGCATGACAACATCTGGGTCAGTGAGATATGGGCCAAGACTTTGGTAACTATTAAGAGTAAAATACATTCTTGTGCTGGAGTTGCTGAGCTGGTGGAGTGTCAGCCTGAAGTTCCCAGGGGTCATCCTTTCCCCAGTGTGAAGTTACCCTGCTGGAGACTAAAGCCAACTTGAGGCAACGCATGGGCATGTGGAGGGATGAGAGAGGAGTGAGCCGATAGCTACACAGGGACACAGATAACGTTAGGGACTGTGTTTTGATGACGTGGTTGGAGGCCTGGCTTCAGTGTGCCTAAACCCTGGGTCATTCAAATTGTATAATCTTCTTTTGGCTTAAGCTAGTTTCAGTTGACCTTTTGTTACTTGCCATTTGAGACACTTAACTGGATGTTCTACTTCTGTTATAAGTCATAAGTGCTGGAATGACTCAAATACTAGATTTTTAGCTATATATTTTGACTGTCACATGTTCCTCTCCTCAGGTCTGTTAAGTTCAGCAACCCCCCAACCCCCACCAGTGCCAGGGCTGACTTTGGAGAGGCAGAAGCAACTACACTGGTATCTCTTCTGTCTGTTTGGTGGTCCAGGTATTTGAATGGAACTACCTTTTTTTAAAAAAAAATATACGATATTTATCTTCACTACTACTGCCTCTAAATTCACCAAGCATTAATTGAGCCTCCGAATATATACAGGGTTGGGGGAATTTAGGATATGATAAGAATAGATCATCACTGTCTGGTCTCCAAGAAATCTGGAGTCTAGTGAAGCTTTAATTGTCCTCATAAGATGTCTGTTTTGTGAGGTTTGTTGAGGTTTAACTCATCAAAAATCTTCAATTTTTCTAGATACTACCACCTTCCCACCACCTGCTCCCTCTTCTTACTTTATAAACACTGTTTAAATATCTCCTAGAGTGTCTGACAGCTTTTTAATTTAGTTGAGAAGATGAAGGCTGTCATTTTAGCTTGAGAACCTAAGATTTCTATCTACTCTGCTGGCTATAATCTAGCCTGGAGACTGGATCTGCCAATGATAGATTTCCAGCAATGAGCAGCAGGTGACCATTTCCTCAGTTATTTATTGAATGCTATGGTTTGCGTAGTCTCTATAAACTTTTTAATTGTTATATACCTTCATCTGTAACATATTTTGATTATGCAACCCTGGGTAAATATTCTTATTAGTTTTAAATAATATATGTGAAAATTGTCCTACCATATAAGGGGATGGGAGATATATATCTATATATCTATAATCTGTATATGGTTTTAACTCTGACAACTAAAGAGTTTGGAAATTGACACTCCTGTCCTTAGCATAAGAAAGTCCAACTGACTGGAAATCAGGGACTTTTCTTAGAACTATGAGAGAATTGAGGTTGCAGTGCACTCCACCACCCTAAAATATGGAGAAATGAATGAAAATCAGTAGAGATATA